AAGGAATAGACTGTTCTATTCATAGTCTCCTAGCTTCAGCGTGGTGAGGAATTGTGTTGTGTTCTTTGGACTGATTCTGACTACCAGCATGGCTCAGAAAGCGTTATATAAGAAATGCACTTGCTGTAGTGCAAAAATGACACAAACAGATGAACATGATCTCTGTCTGGTTTGCCTGGGGGAAGAACATAATATGTCCACATGTAAGTCCTGTCAGAGATTTACCCCCAAAGCCAGAGGGGAGTAGATCCTCTAAATTGAAGGCAGTGTTGTGGGAAAAGGCATTTAGAGCCTCAGCCCCCCCCCCCCAATCCATGGTGCCTCTAGAATAGCCAGGCTGCAATGTTGGGATTCGACGTGTAAGGACAAAAAAAGGGGGGGGAGACTGAACCTAAAACCTAGAATTCAGAACCTATAAAGGTTAGTCAAGAATAGAAGAGGGCCAACTCTTAAAATCTAATTATGAAACCTAAAAAATATACATGTATTTATTAAACACAAATTAAAATAATGAATAAGGGCTTATTCATACCTCATATATTTATTTATTTATACTTTCAATTTCTATACCGCTCAATCCCGGAGGCTCTGAGCGGTTTACAAGCATTTTACATTTCCTAACTAGGGCCACATACAATGTATATATATATAGGGAGGTGAGTGCCTACCAGGCACCCCGCCGGCGTGTGTGTTCGTTTCCTTATGGTGGAAGCTTGTCTTGGCGAGCTCCGCAGCGTCTCCTTCTGGGAAGCTCCCATAGTCTGCGACTGTGTGACGACTTCCTGCACTGGCCTCTGTCCAATTGGCTCCGGCCAAGCAGCGTCACCGCGTTGTCGCGTCTCAGGGCCAATCCCTATCTGGAACGATCGCTGCTTGGTGTTAAATCGCCGCCATGTTCTTTCATCGGATTGCTCCGCCGCTGTCGCCGTTGTTGCCGCCGGCGGCACCACTGCTCCACTCCTCCTCGCCGCCACAACGCCGGAAGGCGGATGCCCCCCTGCACCTAAGGCAGGTACCCATTTATCTACTTGCTAGGCTTTTGAACCGCTGGGTAGGTGGGAGCTAGGACAGGGTCCGGGAGCTCACCCCGGCCGCAGTGGGACTTGAGCAGCCTTAAGGCTGTTCATAGATGGATTACCTGCAGGCTCCCTTTACTGCCTGCGCCACCGCTCCAAAATATACAAATATAAAAACATACAAAGGCTGATGAAAATAGACCTAACGCATTTCGGCCTTTAACTTAAGAAACATTTCATTGGGAACATTTGGCTTTACAAGCTCAGGAGAATATATAGGTTGACCAGAGAGAAGTACACATAAACATGTGATTGCACTGGAGGTTTTATTTGTATTTTTGTATTTCTCTTCTTTGCTCAGTGGTTAAACTTTGGAACAATTGTTTTCTGGTCTCTATTGCATATTCTGTATATGTATGATTGTATATATTTTTACATATCAGCCAATCTATTCTATTTGTATTAGACCTCTGAGGAAGGCCTGTAAAGGCCGAAACGCGTTAGGTCTATTTCATCAGCCTTTGTATGTTTTTATATTTCTTTTTGAGGTATGAATGGGCCCTTATTCGTTATTTTAATTTGTGTTTAATAAATACATGTATATTTTTTAGGTTTCATAATTAGATTTTAAGAGGTGGCCCTCTTCTATTCTTGACTAACCTTTAGGGATTCGACGTGGTCAGCTCCACCTCCTGGTTCCAGGTCTCAGTGGATCCGCTCAGGCTCGCACTCACCACATAAACAGTGCATATAATCTGAGCTGCCTGCTAAAAAGACTAAGATTAAGGGGGAAGTATAAGCAGAAATCCACTTCCCACCATCGAACTCCAGCTTGAACTCTGGAACCAACTCCGGCATTGTAGGGCAAACCTAGAATGCCTCTAAATCTGATGTCATTTCCGATTGCCGTTTCCAAAGGGGAGATAGAAACTGAAAGGAAGATAGAAACAGTTCCATGACCTCAGCATTATCCACCAATGTGATGGCCATCCAACCCATACAGAATGTCCCCAAGGTATTTGGAGGAGTGGGATGACACCTTTGTGAGACTTCACAGAAGATCTATGATGAAAACAGGGTTGCACCTACCTGTAACTGTTGTTCATCGAGTATCTTCTGTGCAGGCACACATACCCTCCCTCCTGCCCCGCTGCATGCTTCCTTTGGCGGTATAAGAGGTACTGAGGGTACGGGCGCTGCTGCGTGGGAGCATGTGGTTCCTGGGCAGGAACACGTTTCTGGCTCTGGCACACAGTGCCCCTTAGAGGATCTTAGCTGTAAAACCTACTGATAGGTAGGCCTGTGGGACTGCACAGAAGATACTCGATGAACAACAGTTACAGGTAAATGCAACTCTGTTTTGCAGTTTAACTTCTCATTATTGCTTGGATCCATCCCAAACTGCCTATATGGTAGACATCAGAAAATTGTACCATAGGAGAACTTAATTGTAGGTGTAGTAATGAAAATAATTGGTTGAAAACACCCTTTGGTCTAGTGTTAGTACTGGGAACATTAGAAATCATGCTGAGGGAAAACGTAGATGAAAATTGTAATCCTGATTATAGCTAAAACATTACTGCATGAAATTAGTGGGCAGGGGAGAGGCACATTGCTTCATTTTCTTGTGAATGGCTAACAAAAGAACCCTGATGGCTGTGTAAAGCTGATGTAGATTCATATAAGAATCCTCATATTAGGAATAGGATTTAGAAATCTTTGGGGAATTATTCAAATGCATTGTATATTTTTGTATTTATACTATAGTAAGACATTGTTTTCATTTTAAAACAAAGAATATTTGTTAAAGTAGTATGCTAGCAAGAAGAGTATTGGGTGAGTGAAGCAACAAGAACAAACTGTGTCTTAAAGATACACGTAAATTCAGATGTGCATGTCAAACTTCTTTCTTTCAAGATTTGTGCATGTGAAAGAAGTAGCTAGAGGTTAGCAGCCCAGCATGCATCTCACCATTGAATCACACAGCCGTAGTATCATCTTCTCTTCATAATGCTAAACATAAACTCTAAACATGGAGCTCAAGCCATGAAGAGTTTGGTCACAGTGCATAATGATCAAATTATGTACTGTGACCAAAGTCTTCATGGTTTGAACTCTCTGACTTTCTAAACAATAACCAAAGACATTCCAATGGATTCCTCTGTCAGGAATGATAATGGCAGCTCATAATTAATGTTTTGTCTTGCTTTACTCACTTGGATCATTCCTTGTAATTCTAAATGTGAACTACCTGTTCTAAAAGCAGTGTTACTCTTAATTTTTTATGTTGAGTATAAAAAAAATATATATAAATCTCGTATTATAGGTGTTTGGGCAATAATGTCCAGAGTCCAGTCAATCAACATGACATCACAGCTATTGTGACAAGTTTGAAGTACTGTTGGTCCTCAAATATTTCTACTTTCACAGCAGTGCTTATTTGCATATATAAAACAGAGTTTTTGAAAGATCTGTAATGTTAAAAGTTGTGCTGTAAAAAACAAGTTAGCAATTAAATTAAATTTTTACAGTTGAGTGACAAGAATGCTTTAAGCATCCATTTGAACAACCCTTTTAATATAAAACTCTAGAAGTATTTACTTTATAAAACTCTATGCTGTCTTGTCCTTCAGCGTGTAGACTTGGGTTATATTATGCTTGTCCAAATACAGCATATCTATATATCTAATAGCCAAGTTGTCCCCTCCGTGCGGATATCTAAATCTACACATCAGGGGCACTTGGGGGGCAGAGATATTTTCCTGCACACTTGGAGCAGTCCCCAGGTGTGCAGAAAAATCTAAAAACTTGAAAAAAATATACGGGGGATATTTAAATCCTCCCCAAAAATAAAACAGCAGGGGGGATCGGCAGGCCCGGGGGCTGGGAGGCTGTCAGGCCTCACCACCAGTACCCGGGGGGGGGAGATCGGTGGGCTTGGTGGCTGGGAGGCACTCAAGCCTCGCTGCTGGTGCCCAGGGGGGAGATCAGCAGCTGGGAGGTGCTCAGGCCTCGCTGCTGGTGCCCGAGGGGGGGAAGATCAGTGGGGGGAAGATCGGCAGGGGAGATCGGCAGGCCCGTAGCTGGGAGGCACCTTGCCGCCAAGGCCCAGGGGTGGGGAAGAAGGCTTACCTGTGGAGCTGCTTCTGCAGGCCGGGAGCCTTTAGGAATACTCCCCCCTGCGAGTATCGCGGGTCCCGCTTCTTGTTATCATCTAATGTCTAATTATGTGGGATATAATAAAAAGTGTCCAAAAGGAACATTTTCTAATATATGCTGTATGCATTTTTCATTAAGAAACTTTCATCTCCTCTCCCCAAATTAATGCAGAACTAAGTTAAGGAGTTCAATTCAGTCAGTTTCAGGACCACGAAAATTTGAAGTTGACAGCATCTTGGGTTCATTTATAAGAACATTCCCTATGACTCCTGATGTTCAATGATTTAAAAAAACCCTTGTGTAGTGAAACCAATGGTTACCTGACTATCTGCAGAATAATTCAGGTTACCTAGCTTTACAAAAGTGTCAGAATGCTTAAAATAGGGTTGCCAACCTCCAGGTGGTGGCTGGAGATCTCCTGAGATTACAACCGATTTCCAGGCGACAGAGAACAGTTCACCTGGAGAAAATGGCTGCTTTGGAAGGTGGACTCTATGGCATTACACCTCACTGAACTCCTTCCCCTCCCCAAACCTGCCCTCCTCAGCCTCCACCTCCAAAGTCTTCAGGTATTTCCTAATCTGGAGCTAACAACCCTAGGGTAAACTAAGAGTTAAAAAATAATTTATCCAACATAATAAAGATACTTTGTATGCATACAGAATGGTGGAAGGAGGGTGTCTGTGTTGGGCCTGGCTATTTTTAATTAGGTTTCTTGATAGTGTTACTTATAATGCTTATAACTATGTGACCAGTTTAAATGACATTGTCATTCAAATGAGTTTAATTCATCTTATATATAGTAAATTTCTTATTATCCTGCAGGGTCAAACAGCATTTGATGTAGCAGATGAAGACATTTTAGGATATTTAGAAGAACTACAAAAGAAACAAAATATGGTAAGCTCCTTTAGCCTTGCAAGTTGCAAGAAAACCCATAAACGTTTGAGCATATGTAACTGCCTTACTCTGAGTCAGACCACTGGCTTATTTTATGCTATCATCTATTGTCTGGTATTACCACTTCAGGGTTTTATATAGAGGTCTTTCCCAGTCCTGCTTCCTGATACTCTTTTACAGGAGGTGCTTGGGATACAATCTTCATCACTGAAAGCCTGTGCTCTGCCACTGAGCTATGATCCTATTCTTATTATCTTGTTGTCCCCACATCTCTGTATTCATAATCTGTATACTGGAGATGAATGCCACTGAATGTAAAGAACATATTGTAAACCGTTAGTCCCATCAGTGTTTTACCAAAAGCATGGATTTTCTGAGTATGTTGTGTGTTTCCTGTTCCTTTTCATACCCAGATACACACAATGGGTTGGATCCAGTGATCCGCTGGTGCATGCAAGGACAATGGATCTTCTGTTTTTCCCTTTCCCCAGCAGCTGTTTCCAGCACCAGGAAAGTTGATTCCTGAGGTCTTGGGGTCTGCATGGAGTAATAGTAAAAGTGTTGGTACACTGCAGTGAGGAAGATGGTGAAATCTCTTCCTCTTGCCTCTTCTCTCAGCAGAACTCTGCTGATGAAGGAAGCAGGAAGGGTGCTCCTTTCTTCGTCACTGCAGCCCTCTAATGCTCATGGCTACTACCCCATGTTGGTCCCATGACCCTGGGAATTAACTTCCTGTGTGTCAGAAATGGCTGCTTGGAGGATGGGAATGCAGGAAATTAGCAAAAACACGATTGTCCTCTGATGGATTGTTTCATTTAACCCACCGTCTGTATGCTTATGCTGATTTCATTTTGATGGTGAATAAAGCTCAGAAAATTGGAAATCCTGAAAAGGATTTTTAAGTGATGCTCTTGCCTTCCTGCTATATCAGACGATCTGAGTGTTTTAATATTGGTGTTGCAGTTCAGTTTTTCATATTCAGTAGAAATTATTAAGGTTGAAATACTTTCTCTTTGGCCATCTGTTGAAAGTATTCTCAAAGTTGAAGATAAAGGGACAGTTTATTGTATAGTCTTTTGGAATAACAAAGATAATTGACATTCTTTTGAATGGTGAATATTTTTCTAGAATATTACTACTTTGGTAATTTAAAAGATTTTTCTGTGTGCATTCTCCTTTGTAACATTATAGTTAAACTGTTTTGTATCTTCTAAAGCTTCATAGTGAAAAAAAGGAAAAGAAATCACCGCTAATTGAATCTACAGCCAATATGGACAATAATCAGACCCAAAAGCCATTTAAAAAGTAAGTAAAATGTTCTCAAGGTAGGAAAAATTATTTTTCCAAGGTAGGAAGGAGTTGAATTGGAAAATGATAGAAGAGATTATTTATTAATTAGTTTCCACTCATAGGAACATCTGTTCTCACACTGGTTGCTGCTGTCACAACCCTCCTGATGTCCAGTTGGTTCTGAAGCTAGTAAAATAAAAACAATGTATGTTTTCTTTCAGTAAAGAGACTTTGATCATTGAACAAGACAAGAATGCATCTAACATTGAATCTTTAGAACAAGAAAAAGTGGATGAAGAGGAAGAAGGAAAGAAAGATGAGTCCAGTTGCTCCAGTGAAGAAGATGAGGAAGAAGACTCAGAATCTGAAGCAGAAACAGGTAACCGGGCAATAGCTTTGCTTTGACAATTAGATTTTAGATTTATCTGCACTGTTCCTAGCAGAGCATATTAGTTGTCCCCTTTTAGTCCAGGGTGTACTCTGTAATAGTTTGGGGGTTAGGCTTTTTCAGAGGCTGACTGATGTATGAGAACAGCCTGCCCAAGAAGCTTTCTGGTTTCCAGCTTTTCAGTAAAGCTGTAAAACAGAATGATTCTGCAGAGCATTTGGATCAGTCTGAGTCTGGCTTGCTGGAAACATGTGCACAGGGTGTTTTTATGCTTGATTTTTAATATTTATTTTTTTCTATGTATTAAAGTTTTTAGTTATGTGATTTTATGAGGTTTTACTACATTTTATTGTTACGTGCCTTGGGTCCTGACTTGGTCAGAAGAAAGGTCCATCCCACAATCCATTCACATTACTATGTTTTCGTCCTGCCCTTTCCCCAAGGAGCTCAGTGGAACAGCATAATGTTTCCTTTGAGTGCTGCTGCATAACATGCTGCACACTCTTGGGATAGATCCAAGTCTGCCATTTTTTTATGCCTGTATAGTGTATAGCTTAGTTAGTTTCAGACAAACAGGGCCCGAATAGGCAAGAGATGAACAAAAGTTTATGTTACACAGAACTGTCTAGCAAATGAGGGAAACAAATTCTAAGTTATAGCAAATCATATCACTTGAAGTGTAAATACATTTGTATTATCCTAACCCAGATTTCCAAGAAACTTGTTTCAAAAGTTATCTTGTTTAGAATGTCAGCCATAATCATAAGAAAGACAATAGCCTGAAGGGGTAAATGAATAAGTTGGCACTGGCTGAGAAACTGCACTTGCTAGGAATGGTGGGCAGAATAAGCCTGCTTAAAAATGCTCTGCAACTGCTCTTGCTTTCATCAGTCACTGGGGAAGGGACCCTTGTCCCTTGCACTTGAGGCTAATACAGATGGAAGGGATCTGAAATACACATTTCCTTCAAAGAGGATGGAGGACATTAATGTATATGCTAAAGACCACAGCATTTTAAGATACAAGATAAACTATACACACACACACACGGTAAATCTGCTTTGCAGCATGTGATGAATCTACATATATTTCTATATCTGTATTACCATAACAGTTCAATTGCCAACTTGTAAAAGTCGTCCTCTTCCTTCATTCTCATCCTTAGCTTTATCATTTTACAGTATCACAACTTTAACATTAATTTTTAAATAATCAAATATCTCATTTTATACTGTAAGAGTGGAGGTTCAAATATCTTATATGCATGTCTTCCCTTAGCAGCTTGAAGTTTTTCATACTGATCACTTTGGCATTTCTTGAGCTGCATGACTCTCATTACTATGTTTTCTTTGTTGCTACTATGTCGTCTTGTGCCAGGAAAATATGACTGTGATACAAGAATTAATTTATGTAAACTTGGGAGGTTTTTAAATATCAACAAGGCTTTCATCATACTTTATTTGGCATGCTAGAGAACTTAGGCTTTTCCCTGGAGCTGAATCTCTCTGTTCCAAATTTGTACTTCCCACTTTTTCCCATTATACATTTTAATGTGGATTCACAATATAAAAGCTCTGGTACATGAAATATTTTTGTGTAAGTATATCTAAATTTAAAATTTAAAATAGAAAAGTTTTGAGTAGAAGAATAAATACTGGAATGCTAGAAGATGGTTACGTTTTCATTATCCAAGTACAGAAATATTAAAGACCAAATAAGTCATTGTCTTATTTCTTTCAAGATTTTGTTAAAACTATTAAAAAGCAACTCTGAACATTCTTTTCAAATAGACACTGGGGATGGTCCAGTTTCTTCTTATAACACCCATGTGCTGAACATTAAGAAGGGATTCCCATACTCTTGGGCCTTCCTCTAGTTGTCTCCTGAAGCACATGCTAAGCCATGCACACACATCACTGTGGGCATGTGGCAGACTGGATTGTGATCCTAGTTTGAAAGCATGTTCTTTTGAAAGATATCGACTGTTACAAATTAGTGTTCTTTGCAATAATTATCCAACCTAACTAGTTTTATCACTTTATCCTGAATCAGATGGTGTTTTTCCAGCTTGTTTCTCTCTAGAGAAAAGAATGCAAATGTGTAGGCAGAATCAAGCCGTCTCTTAAAAAAAAAGTTCTCAGTTAATGATGTTATACTGACCATTAGTCAAATTTATTTGTATCCTGCAAGCACATAGAAATGTGGGGCTTGTGGTGGTGTTTCTGATCTGCTGACACTTGGTGAGAAACAGTAGTGCATTTGTTAAATGTATTTATATTTTGGCCAAGTAGAGCCCTCCTAAGGGCTTACACTGCTTCTCACAAAGAATGAAGCTCAAAACCATAAATCCCTTCACCCTGTCAGGACTACTAGGTTATACTAAAATTGAACTGAGAGGCAAAAGAAACAATAGAATTAGCAGTCTTTGCTGCTCTTCTTTTGTCTTTAAGCACTTGGTGGCATTTTCTGTGACTTGTAAACTGTCATCAGTGTTCTAATACAGACAACATTAGTCTTGAAATTTTTTGATTTTAACTCCTTAATATTACCCCGTAAATTATGGTAAGACATATTGACACTCAATGGTTTCTCAGTAGGAATAAGCCTTGGAAATCTTTGGTGTCATAAACTCTCCTTCCCATCAATGCAAAGCTTGTTGTGACTTCTGAATCATATGAACAAAGAAGAAGGGGGAAACAGACTCAACTCAAATGTACTGAAAATGCTACAAAGGTCAAGCTCCAGCAAGTAAAATAATATCAAAATAAATATTTATTATATGGTGTACACAACATTAAAATTAAAAACATATGGCTTGAATATAAGGCTGCATTAACAGTCAGAACAAGCTTTATATAAGCAGTAATAATTTCCCATACAAAGTTGATGAACTGACCAACACAAGACTATACACGTTTCAGCCTCAAGGACCTTCCTCAGTGGTCAATAATACACACTTAAAAAAAAAACACACACACATCCAGAAATTAATATACATCAATCCTGACTAGGTGTTGTTATCTGGAAATACAAAAGGAAAGAGAAAAGAAAAAAGCCAAATTGTTATAATAGAAAATATTGTGTCCAAATATACAAAACCATTTCTACCTCATATATTGTATGGTGTGATGTAAGCTTATAAAGCAGGCCACGGATCCCTTCATATGGTAACTGCTCTCACACATAAATCTTCCTTGATGTTCTAATCTATAAAGGAAAAATTATATATGAGCTAAGTTTTATAAATATACAAGTGAACATTTAAACCTGAGAACATTTAAACCTGCAAACAAACCTGGTATAAAGTGTCCACTATTTCTAGATGTGTGTGTCATCAACCAGTAACTGAAATCAAAAGGCACATTTGTTGTAATAAGGTCAGCTATATGATGGAATGAAAGGATGATGCAATAACCATGCAATGTGAGAGCAGTTACCATGGTACATCTGCTGAATGACAGATGACTTGAATGCAGAGAAGCAGTTTGCCTTTGCTCTTCAGTCGCCATTAGAGCACTTTCCCCACAAGGATGCAACCTCCCCTTAGTGTGCCTTATAGGAAGCACATCTTGTGACTTTGATCACTTCTACTTGAAATCGGCTTCTCTCTAGGTGAAAGAAAGCACCAGCTGTCTTTAAATCATTTGTTAATTATTGTAAATGTTATACTGTTTATTTTCAGACAAGAACAAACCTGCAACAAATAATTCAAATGCTATCAGTGTGCAGACAGCTCCCATAGCTGTGACAACACCTTCTGTTACTACTGGTCAAGTGACACCTACATCCCCTATTAAGAAGGTAAAACAGATCTCCGCCCCCCTCCCCATTTCATTATTATGAAAGGTTAAGTCAGTTTTCAGTTATTAGTCCTAAATCTTTCTAAACATGATTGGTGCTTCCATAAATGAAACAGTCATTGCAGATTTTTTTTTACATTTTTATACATGTAATCCAATTTAATATTTTGTTTAGATTTTCTTGTTAGAAGGACTTTTGTTATGAGACAATTGCTTTGCCTAATGTTGAGGTGGCTGTTGGATAGCAAATACCATTTGATCCAGCCCTACATGGTGGATAGATGCAAGGGATGCATCAGTTTACATCTTTCCCATGAATTCACTGGGCAAGTCCAGTTTCACATATGCCAGTGAGGGTATGTGTATGTGCTATAAAAATAGCAATGAGGAAAACTGGGGGCTGACTTCATTCAGTTTGTGCAAAACCAATTTATATCCTTTGGGTTCAATTGTGAAATGTTTACTGTAGAAAACAAGCCTTTAAAATACTTCTTCTGTAGGATGATTAATTTTAGTCACTCAGTTTCAAAGGATTGTAGTAGAAATACATTTGTTAAAGTTTCATTGTTGTTACATACCCTAAAGTAGAAATAGAGAAGAGTGAAAGTCCAGTAGCACCTTAAAGACTAACAAAATTTGTGGTAGGGTTTGAGCTTTCGTGAGCCACTGCTCACTTCTTCAGATACGAAAGACTCTTACTCTTTTCTGCTGCTGCAGACAGACTAACATGGTTATCCATCTTGATCTAAGGTAGAAAGGTATCTTTTGAGATCTGCAGAAATTCTCAGGTCAGTTTGATAAAGTGCCAGGATAGGATCAATCATTTACTATTGCTTGTCATGTCATGCACATAGAAAAATCCTGTTAGTGACATAACTGCCTTTTGTTGGCATTTATATGGCATTTTAAATTAGCAAAGTTCTTTACATTCTTTTATTTATTATTATTTTTCAGAATATATATTCCACCTTTCTGCCCAATTAGGACCAGCGAGCCAGCTAACAATTAAAAGCAAAGCATTATAAAACTAAAGAGTAAAATACACAAATAAAAACACAAGCCCAGCAATTCAACATCAACATTTATTATGATCGAAAGATCAGCCAATGCAGTTTAACAGGTCCAGCAATTAAAACATAGGAAGGGAAGGGACAGGTCATTGAGGGAACACTGACAAAACAAACAGTATTCACCTGCTGGTGGAAGAAAATTATTAAAAGAGGACAGATGAATATTTACTGTGTGCTGCCCATAGATTTCAATATCCAGTAGTGGTCATTAGGGCAAATGACTGTTTCACAGACCTGCAGAGCTTTAACTAGGTTTTCTCAGCTTTGTGATGTTCCTCTCCTAAATACTGCCATCACTCCAAGTAATAAATAGAAGAAGAAGAAGAGGAGGAGGAGATTGGATTTATACCCCGCCCTTCACTTGGAGTCTCAGAACGGCTTACAAACTCCTTTCCCTTCCCCTCCCCACAACAGACACCCTGTGAGGTGGGTGGGGCTGAGAGAGCTCTTGAAAGAAACTGCCCTTTTTAAGGACAGCTGTGCCAGAGCTTGTGACTGACCCAAGGTCACATCAGCAGGTGCAAGTGGACGAGTGGGGAATCAAACCCGGTTCTCCCAGATTAGAGTCCGTGCACTTAACCACTACTCCAAACTGATGGGTGTAAATCCATGCCAAGAAACAAAATGGTATTGTCATCTGACAATTTTATTTTTAAAATTTAAGAAGCTCATAGCTTTAATATTTATGTATACTTCTTGGTTACTGTCTTAACACAGAGAGAAAGATGTGTATACATGTATTTTGGGTTGGCTTTTCAGAAGAACAAAACAACCCCCAAAATAATATCTTATACAGTATCCTTGTAATTTGGGGCTCACTTGGTGCCTTTTATAGAGACAGAATTATAGAATAGCACTCACCTTTATTAACCAGTGCAGCACTCTGAAGATTTAACTTGAAGCCTTCAGCACTTTGAAGGCTGCCATTACCTGTCTGAGCTCCAGTAGTTTAAGCTTTATCCTTCAAGAGGGAAGGAGGCTACATGCCATACTGTTCCACATCCCTTAGGACTGCCCATGGGTCCAGATCTTATGATGAAGCACTTTACCAAGAACACTTGTATTTTGAAATTAGGCAGGTGGTAACTGGTGAGTGGTTTATCTTTGTCATGGGGTCCTGGTTTTATAACTGGCTTCATATTTAGATGCCATTCTAAGGCCATTACCACCTGAATTTTCTGCCCTGGGTTCAATGCAAGTTTTTTTCTTGCTTCCCGCAGCATTTTGGTGCATCCATGTACCTCCAGGATTTTCCTGAGCTTTTCTGCAGTCTTTGTCAAACCTGCTTTGCTCTGGAGTTTTGAGAAAGATCACATTAAACCAGATACAGTGCAAGTTTTTTCCCCTGCTTCCCACAGGATCTTGGTGCATCTGTGTACCTTGGGGATTTCCCCCCAGCTTTTCTCCAATCTTTTGCAGCATTCCAGGTTTTAATGCAGCCATCCAAGCTTTAAAGGCAGCCATTTTCCTTGACCCAGTCCCCATAGCAGTGATTTATACTCCCTGCAACTTAAAAAAAAATGACACTAGAATATCATTGTATTGATATATTGTTGTAACAATAGGTGCAACAAGGTTGTCTGAGTTCTCACCTTTCATTTAAATAACTCTTGAGTTCCTTTCTTTGTGGAGATATAAGAAATGAGAGGAGATCGAGACTTACAGTTTTTAAAACTATAATCTGGGAATCCACCGAACTTGTTGCATCTATTGTTAAAACACTACATTGATATAACAATATTATAGTGCCAGTTCTTTATTTAAAATTTGCAAAAAGCCCCAATGAGGGAGGTGGCCACTGCTGGGGAACTGCAGCAGGGGAATTGCAAGGAAACCTGCCAGGTGGAAGCCCGTTGCTGTTGCACTGTTACCAGCAGTTGCACCAGCAGTGGGGAAACCACTCAAGCCCTTTACTGTCTGGAAACCACACAAGTCTGTTCTTTGTAAACTGAGCTTGTAATAGTAGCTAGTATGATGAACTTATTGGTGCTGAAAAGGGCATAGTTAAATTTGAATGTTATGGTTGATCATCTATATATCTAATAGCCAAGTTGTCCCCTCCGCACAGATATCTAAATCCGCACATCGGGGGCACTTGGGGGGCAGAGAGCGTACTTACCTCTGGGATCTGTGGCAGAGCCGCGCAGGGATCACTGCCTTTGGTGCTTGCAGCGGAGGGTGGTGGTGGTGGAGAAGCCTTGGCGGGCTGGCGGCTAGGAGCCGCGGCTGTTGCAGCTATGGGGGGGAGAAGCCTGGTAAGCCCCACAGCTAGGAGCTGCGGCCATTGTTGCTGCTGTTGTTGGCGGTGGCGGTGGCAGTGACAGGGGGAGAGAGAAGCCTGGCAGTTCAGAGCTGCACAGGGCTTGCCACTGTTGCAGTTGTGAGTGGCGGGGGCAGGGAGATGCCTTGGTGGTCCAGGAGCCGTGGGGAATACCCCCCTGCGAGTATTGCGGGTTCCCTTTCTTGTTATATCTAATAGCCAGATACATTCTCACCCGCCAGATCAAAAAATTTGGGATCACACAGAGTTAAAGTAAGTTTCCCAGTCTTGAGTGAAGCCATTGATTTGCATAAAAGTGTGAAGTTTTAAAAAAGCTGGGGACCTTTAAAAAAATCCCCCCAAACATGCAGACACATAAAAGGAAAAAAGTTCTTGCTTTGTGCTGGAGTCCTGACTAGTTTATGGGAAATTTCAGCTACCAATTTCTGAAGTACCTACAAGGGTCCCGTTTTCAAATGAATCATGGTGTCTTAGACTTCACATGTAACACAGTGAAGCTTGTTTTTTAGAGACTCAACAGGCAGAGAATGAGTCCTAAGCTTGTACAAGTTGTTATCAGTTCAGCTGAATGTAGTCCTTCAGGCATACATCACTGATACAGCAGTAGCTCACTCCTGTTTATAGTTTGTATCTGGGACTGGAAAAATGGGTAGGAGTTGGGAGATTTAAAGAACCTGCATGGCTAAAGGGCTACTTTCAGCTTGCTGAATCACAAATTGCATAGGGCTGGTCTGTATGTTTATACACACGGTAGACCATCACCATTCACTAGAGTTCCCATTCCTGGGACCATCCCTTGTGGGAGGCCTGGCTAGGGTGAGTCACACTTGATGTCTGGCATAGCAGCAGCATTGCCAAGTGAGTTGTATAGCAGTGGCCACCTTGCCTGTTGGCCTGGGCAAGTCACAGTGCTGCAAACAGGAGCTGCCTGGCTGGTGTTGGTGAGGTGGGTGATGCCACACAAGTCTCCTGGGCAAGCTGGGTGCTGTTCTGAGAAGCCAGTGATCATGAGAAAGGAGGTTGCAGGGCAACCGCACTTGTTCCACCTCTCCCTCTCATTACATACAGAGGGGTCATGTGCTCAGGACTAGCTGCATCACATGGTTGGGCCATGGTCTGAAAATAAGTGGTCTTAGACAAGATGCTTTCAATTTCAAACTCCCTAGTTGATGATGTGATGCACGTTATAGAGTTTGTCTTGAGGACTGCTGCTGAGGTAATGTATGTAAAGCTGTTCAAAGTGCAATATAAAGGCATAGTAGACATTAGTACATTATGGTTCTGAACTTCTTCCCCAGATGAAGAAACCATAATCAGCATGGGAGGGAGACAAATATATATGTACAAGAGTTGGCCTCCTTTGCAGAAATTTACTTTGTCATCTTGAGAAGGATTTAAATTGGAACAGGCACACAGTTGTGAGGTTTACCAACCCATTACAAGTTGATTCTGCTATTTTTTCCAGTGTAGCAATGTACCACCCTTTAACAGAATGAAAAGATAAGCTATCGGAAGCAGTGCCAGCTTATTGAAACCAGAGAACAGGGCTGAGGCCTCCCATTATTCCCAACCCCTCTTTTATCTATATCCCTGTGACCTTTATATGCTGTGTTATTGGTGCATCTTTGTGTGTCAGAGTTACAGCCTATTATCTCTCCCTCACTGGACTTAACATAGGAGTTTTATGACTGGATCTTCCATCTTGTGTTTTGGCTCTAAAAAGCAGTTGCCAGGAGGCCCAAGATGAATCAGGGCGACAGCACTGGGGATGTTAAACTCCTCTCTTTTCCATCACAACAGCCTTCCTCCATATTGTCCCCTTGCCACTGTGGCTACTTTGGGGGGGATAAAAGACATAATGGGATCTCCTGGAACTGCCAACATCATGATGTGTTTCTCCCCCCACCATCATTTGCCTGCCTCTCTTCCTTTATTACACTCCTGCACATGGTCTTCTTCTGTTTCCCTTCTCTTCCTACCTTTGTGTTTCTCTCAACATCTCTCCACTCATCATATCATTCTGCAAATGAGTACATTGCGTAGATGAAACATAACACAGAAAAGGAGCTGAGGCCATTTCTGCATCCTGTCAGAAGTTAATAGGGTTTCAAGTATATAGACACTGGAAATAAAGACATCCATATTTTCCTTTCAATATTTGTTTTTTATATGTCTTGTCCCAATTGGCTTTAGTATGACTTCCTTGCTCCTGTCATGCCTGTGGCGGACTCTGTAGATCCTGCATCATGGAGGCAGGGCTTACGTAAAACTGGCATTGTTCTTGTGCCCAGTAAAGGTGAAAAGTCTCTGGTGAGGGCTTTGTGTGTGTATGGGTTTCCCCCCCTCCAGGTTGCCAAAATAACAATTCTTAATTCAAATTTTGGTGCTATGGTTGCATGATTTTAAACTGTGTGTTCTTTTTTTGCATCTCATAGTTTATAGTGCGATGTGTAAACCTAACCCTGTGAACAGCTGACTTAGTTTTTGAGACTTTAAATAAAATCATTAACTTGCCTAGAAAATTGTGTGAGAATTTGCTTTCTTCTTCACAGACTTACAGGTTATATTTATTGGAAGTGAGTCAATTTTGCAATATCCCACATAGCATGAAATTCCAGGGAATGCTGGTTTTCCTTTAGTGACCACTGAATAGTCTCACATTTTGGAGTGAGCAAGCACAGGCTGCCATGTTCTTGACTTTTAATACTAGTGAAGAGGACACCTCTCCTAACAGACATGTTTACTCATGCATATTATCTGTGAATGAATGCCTTCTTTGAATACCACAAAATGCAGTAGCAGCAGCAGTGATCTGCTACTTTTTAAAACTCAGGTAGCTTGATGGGTCTTACATTTATGCTTTGTAGTGGTTAAAATAAATTATATTTTCAGGACCAGTGAGCAGCTGAGGAGAAATATTGCCAGTATACATGTTTGTTTGGGATAGGAGATGCTTTAGGGAGTATATCATGGGAACAAAACTGCTTCCATTAATAGTCTTTTGTGAATATTGTGAATACTAGCATGGTCAGGATTTACAAAGAAAGTTGACCAACTTCCTTGCTCTGAATACAACTTTAAGTTAGTGCTAGCTAGTGCTGAACAGCCCATAATCTGTTCAGCAAGATTTAAGATGGCAGCTATAGCAACTATTTGAGATGCAGATCCCAGATCATCTATGTGAAAGCAAAGTTTATGTAGCCTTGAAGCATTTTACATGATGGGTATGATGGACATAAATCCCAGGCTGAATCTAGTCAAGAAGACAGCTGTATAGCAGCTGGCAGTCATTTATTTAACTGAAAGATGACAGTGTTGTACATGGGGCACCAAAAGGATTTAACAAAAAAGGGAAGGAAATGGCATAGTGCTGTGTTGGTCCTTGCCCCAGATCTAGAGTTGATGATGGAAAATCTATACAAGACAAAGTAGCTCCAGCTTCCCAATGTGAGACTTCACAAAAGGCTACGGAGCAGAAATCAGCCTTACCTAATTGTAGCTGCTGTTCTCCAGGTGCCTTCTCTAAATCTTTCCTGCTTTCCCCACCAACAGAATCTTTCCTTGTCCTAAAATTTCTTGCCCTCTATGGTGCAAGGGACAAAAACCAGAAGGTACCATATCATTCATGTACGCAAGGGGAAACATGTCAGTGAGAGGGTATGATCATTCTTTCTTCCTGCAGGGTTCTAGATTGTCATGTTGTGGCCTGTACATGTGCACTCTCAAATGTACAGCTGCTCAGGGAGACTTCAAGAGACTCACAGAAAAATAATGCTGTGTTTTACAGTTTCCAACTTCATCTAAAGTTTCTCCCAAAGAAGATGAGAGAAAAGATGAGTCTCCTGCATCTTGGAGATTAGGTCTTCGAAAGACTGGCAGTTATGGGGCACTTGCAGAGATTACAGCTAGCAAAGAAACTCAAAAAGAAAAGGATTCAACAGGTGTTATGCGGTCAGCCTCAAGCCCTAGATTGTCATCTTCATTAGACAACAAGGACAAGGTAATCTTTTTTCAGAAAATGCAACATAAGTCATGTTTAGTAGTATTCTGTTACGTGTAGAGGTGAGAATTTGGTGTAGAGCCACATTGTTATCAGATACCCAGATGGTGGCTAGGTTGGGATGGATACTTGGGAAGTTCTGATTTCTTGACATTTGATATAGGAAGCCTGTTTCTGTAGAATTACAAAATATGTTCATTGATTTGGCATCCAATTATATATTTTCTCAAATAGTTAAGTGTGATGAATGAGAGGCCAGGGGTCAAGAGCTGCTGTGACAGTTATGGTAATGGAAGGGGACTCTGGGTCTCCGTGACTGGGAAGAGGGGAGGAAGGTGCTCTTCACTGGATAGAAAGCATCCTCTCCCAACAGAGAGGTGCACACACTAGCCCTCTAATGTGTTAACACCTCTTGATTTGGAGGGGCCATGTCTGATGAGCTTGAGTCCCAAGACCTGGCTCCCAGATTGGTTGAAGGCCTGGGAGTGCATATGGGGTGGGGTCTGAAAAGGGGAGCTTATTCTTTTGTTGGTATGTGTGTTTGGGATTTGGCTGGAACTGGGTTTTGGCATTCATTGCGGAGCTTGCTCTCCTGTATGTTTGCTGTGAAGGATGACAGAGGGGAATGATACTAACAGTGGTTGCAGATGCACCAGGGACCGGGGTATCCTGCAACTAACAATGACTTGATATACCATGGATTATAAATTCCATGTTTATTTTGCTTAGTGCACCTAGATTCTGTTCTTGTAAATCCTGAGTTTGTGCTGCGTAGAAATAAAGTAGAGAGACTTTGCACAAGTCCTTACCCACCTACCTTGGCTCCTTTGCATGCTATAGTGATACACCCTTGTGGAGCTGGCCTCAGGCAACCCATGAGAGAGAGAGAGAGGGAGGGAGGGAGGGAGGGAGGGAGGGAGAGAGAGCGAGAGAGAGAGAGAGAGAGAGAGAGAGAGAGAGAGAGTGAATTTTACCCAAGGTGGTGGCAGTGACAGTAAAAAGGAGGGCAAGACAGTGGGTAGTCTTGCCCCACAAGGTGACAGAGATCATGACTTCTGTTAATTCATATCTGTAGCAAATCCACCCTGCAAGAGAAAATGTTAAAATAACCCCATTTCAGCAAGAAGCTTGTTGCAACACTAAGCTGTGTTTATAATGATTTAGTCATGCTGTACACATAAAATATGTAACCAGCTAAAATTGTAATCGGTGTCATATTCTGCACTTGTATATTGTTGAATTGGTTTATTACAAATGTATGCATTAAGTCAGCAGTGGTAAAATGCAATTTCTTTATAAATCCTCCATCATTTCAAGGAGAAAGATACAAAAGGGACTCGACTTGCATATGTTGCACCCACAATTCCAAGACGATTGGCCAGTACGTCTGACATTGAAGAGAAAGAAAACAGGGATACATCATCCAGCTTAATACGTGGTACTGGTTCTTATACAAGAAGAAAATGGGAAGAGGATGCAAAGAAAAATATTTCAAATGAAGGATCTGTACCACTAAATACAAGCTATCAAAGAAGGTAAGGAGTTAGGTTGTTGAAGATAAAAACAAAGTCAGCAGAAATTCATAAAATAGACAAGTTCATGTACTAGAATATTCTAAGTAAAATGCATGTAGGCATTAGGAGCTCAATTCGAAAATGAACATTTTAAGGTATGTTTTGATCAGGCAATAAAAATGTACAACTTCAGAATATTAAAAACACAAATTGTAGAAAGGGAACTTTTCATTTAATTAGGTAGTAGGTGTATAGTGAATTTGGGATTCAAGTATCTTCAAATAAAATATTTGATCATTATAAGTGTTGTTTATTTGTGTTTAGGAAGTTTAGGTGTAGTTATTCTAGTACTATAAAATCTAATTTTATGACCTGAAAATGGCCATAACAGTTTTATTACTACTATAATACTACACAGATGTCTAAAAAGGCATTAATTTGAAAGGCAAGAGGCAGGCTTTGTGGGAGACGACTCAGGCTTCTTTCCCCCTTGTGGAAAAAAGATGAGCTGCCCCACTTGTTCCAGGACTGAGTTCCAGAAGGTGCATTTGGTTAGCTAGCAGAGGAGTTGTATAGGAGTCCTCTTGCAGCTTTTCTGTTGACTCTGACAACCACGTTGTACTCAGAAAAAGGCAGTATCCCTGCCTTCTGAGACCAAAACAGTGTGTCCTAGAACAGTTTGGGCATGGCAGCGATTCTGGAATATCTGGCTGACAAATATGTTAGCAGATATAAGGACACTTCTCTGTATAATTTGCCTAGCCATAGCAACTGTGGTGTTCCTGTTGACAGGATCCCCCAGTGCAAGACATGTTACCCGTTAGTAACAGTTTCATTGTTTGGGCGGTCATTTCTTATACTGTGTCCATGCATTAGTAATGAACAGGTGAAAGGTAGGTGTTCCCTTCCCCAATCCTGGCCCATGAAGCATCAGTGACAGAGTTGTTGTTCATTAAAGGGGTCACATTCAGTGTGGCCAAGTCATAAGTTGCCTCATATTATCAAGCACAAGAAACCTATGTATTGTTGTCTAATTTTGATTAGTTGGTTTTAAAAGAAACATTCATTTTATTTAACTTCATTTATTGTGATCTTTATATGATACAGTGGAGTTCATCTAAGATGTTTAAAGTCTGTGATTAGGTTTACTGCTCCAGTATGTAAGTGTGACTGTTAGGATGTAATAGTGACACCAGTGCAGTGCTGCTAAGCTCACCATAAGATTACAAGTAGGTACTGCTATATGTTTCCTTAGAATCAGGGCTTAAGGCTTTAAGGAAATAGGTAAATTAGGTGTTTGAATGTTGCTTATGGCTCCCCAAATATCTGAAGGTGTTGAAACAGAACTGTCATTAAATGAGGTGGAATAGTAATGTGGTTATCTGGAGTCAGAGGTGATTCCTTGCACCAAAGGGGAAGCCCAGGACAGCCACAAACACCACCCCAACAGAATGGTGATGCCCAGATTCACCCAGGACATTCCACACTTACCCAGGGAGGAAGGAGAGACACTAGAGGTTGGGAAGAAGCTGGAGAAACCAGGGCAGAAGGTAGAGGCGGTATTCCAAGGAGCCTCTTGGAGCCCCGGGAAAGAGAAGCCTGTCTCCTTTTGAGACCTATCTCTCACAGCTCCCAGGACAGCTTGGGGGAAAGGAAGGTGGGTAGATTCCCCAGCAGTTCAGAGCAGACGAAGGTTTGTCCAGCTGAGAGAAGGAGGTCAAGGGTGGATTAAACCCCCCTCCCCTTCTCATTCTTAGACCTGGGAGACTTCCCATCATAGTTTGCCATGACAGCAGAAGGTGGTGTCACTCAACAGGTGGTCATGGATCATGACAGTGGTGCTGATTTTTAGCTTTGCAAATATTGTGTAAATTCACATCTTTTAAAAATTCAAATAACTTTTCAGTGGTTCCTTTGGTAGAAGACAAGATGACTTGATTAGTTCTAGTATTCCAAGTATTACTTCAGTATCAACAGTTACCTCCCCAGCTGGTCTTCAGAAAAGCCTGCTTTCTGGCACAAGCACTGCTACAAAAGTTGCAACGGGTTCAGCAACAGCAGGAGTACAAAGCAGGTAATGGCATCAATGTACTCTGTGTTGAGTCCACTGTGTGCTTATGTATGTGCATGCATTTTTGTGTAGAAAGTACTGGGCTCTGGATTTTTTTCATTGTTCCTATTTAAATGTGGTCAACATGCAATTTGACTCAAAATGAAGATGTCTTGAATTATAAAGTAATAGCTCTACATGGCTGTTGAAGGGAAAATCCGGATGGGAGGCTAAAAATATAGTTAAAGCTAAACTTGTTACTTTTTCCTATTGAGCTCACCTGGAACAATTCAGATATTTCTACATCAAAGGTTTTCCCGCCCCAAAACTTGTGTATTAAAAAAATCCACCCCTTTATCACACTTTTCTAGTTTAAGTGCTTTCATTGTTTAGCTGTTTCCTTTTCTCTTTTTGTGTTGCTGCTGTGATACTATAGTACCTCAAATCGTTTATGGGCTGAGGATAGTACTGAGAGAGACAAAGACAATGTTCCTACAGCAGTGACCGTTCCTGTTGCACCATCAGTTATAAATACTGCGACTACTACCACGGCCTTGACTACAACTACTTCTGGCACTGTGTCCTCAACTTCAGAGGTCAGGGAGAGACGCAGGTGTGTAAAAATTCTGCGAGTAATATTTCTCTTGTGCAGAGTGATCCTTTAGTAACAGGGGAACAAATGCCTGCTCACAAAGTGTAAATTGATGTAACTGAAAACATGTTAAGGCCTTGCTCACATGTGATGGAAACCTCTTATCTGGGATCAGCGGCAAATCCCAGCATCCCACATTAGATCTTGTGTACATACTCATTCTCATAATTACCCGTCACTGTATTTTTAAAATAGAGGAATATATGTTCAGTATTGCTAGTACAGTAATACTCTTTGTGACCTGCACATCATTGAGGACAGTTATTTATTTTATGAAGTACAAATCATTTATTAGCTTTTCATATTGCAAGAAATATTATCAGATATTGTTACACAACCATGATACATCTTTAAAAACTAGCATGAACTTCAAAATGACTTCTGCAATAAATATTCAGGACCTCCTCTTCTACCGTGCTGTTTTCATGTTTTCTTGTTTTCCTGTGGAAACATTTTCTTGGGCCAAAATTCCTTTTGTCTTCTTTCTTAAGTGATTTTGTGTGTTCATGAAAATGCCATTGTTTGAACTTGCTGTGTATCTCACCTCTCAATAGGAAATGTGTAAAAATTCACATTACAAAACAATTACTGTCTCCATACATTCTGAAATACTAGTATATAATTTTCTGATTTGCTTTGAAAAACTAGATAAGATTCATAAATTTATTAAAAAGTAACTTAAATAGAGGCTTGGAAACTTAAGGCAAAGAGCCCTGTCATATCTTAAGGATGTACTAGTTTAAGTTATGAGCTTTTATCAGAAAGAAAATAATCAAAGGTAGAGAGAAACTTCCAGCAGCCCAGCTTGTCTGCCTGCTGGACCCCAATCCTTTCTTCTTTCCTCCCTAAATAATGTAGAGAATGGAGGGGAGGTACAGGCTTTTAGTGATGAAAGGCAAGGAAGTCTGAATTTAAAATGTTACCTGAATTTTCATAGGCTTCCAGTTACTATGTTGTATTTACAAATTCAAAAATATATCATTTTGTCTTACTGTGTCATGCATCTGAAAAAATTCTTAATTTAAGTAATGAGTTTCACAGACAAGTGTCACAGAACATGTTTTATTACAACAGATTAACATAGATATATTTCTGAAAGGAAGTCCTTAATTCAGCTTTTTAAGGTTAATGTAACATTGCTTTGAGTTAAAGCATTGCAAAAGGGCAGATTTTGAACAAGGATCAGGCCTGGAAATGCAGCAAGGCAAAGGGGGGAAACTGCAGAAGCATTTTCAGAACCATTTGGCTTGCAAGGAATATGGTAATAGCTTCTGCCTAGGAAAAAGTTGTTGAAATTGTGTTATTGCGTAATTTTCCTAGAAAGATTCAAGTTATATAAAGTTAAATAGAGTCTTTCAATGAAAGTCCATTATGGTTGAGAAATCTGAGAGGAACTGAAAAAGCAAGGAAGTTCAAAATTTAGGCGTTCAGTTTGTTCTTTACCCTCACCAGCGTGTCAAGGTGTTGCATGAATGTTGCACAGGATGAAATAACAGCTTATGTTCACGGTCTGATTCTTAATTATTTTGAATTTTAGAACATTGTGTATTTATTTATTTATTTATTTGTTTGTTTATTTATTTGCATTTATACCCCACCCTCCCTGCAATTCTTTCAAAAGTCTAACTTCTGATAAGTCTGCAAACTTGATGCATGATCATATAGCATGCCAGTAATATAAAAATTATTCAGGTGTGTGTAGCTTTTAGAATGGAATTGTTCTTCTTTAAAATATGGAAAACCAGTATGATCGGAACAGAAGGTGACAAGATTTCCTGCTACCAAGAACATGTTGTAAAGTTCTAGCTTGCTTGAGGATAGACTTTCTCCTAACTTTTTGTTAATATGACACAGACATAGTAGATAACATTTCAGCTTTAATGCTTTATTTATTCTAAATTAGTGTTCTAAATTAGCTGTTACATAGTTAGTGTTTGTCTGCTTCAGTATATCCTCACTAACTGAAGATGACTGACAGCAAACTACCAGGCACAAGAATATACCCAGAAAATTATATGTTAATGTGGTCCGTATTCATCAAGGGGTATCTTTATACTATAAGTGAATTTGGGCACTTTCCTGTTTGATAGCTTGATGAATTCTTTTCTAAATGGTTGAAATCTTTTATTGTAGCTCAACTTAGTGACCTGACATCTTTTTAAAGCGATGTCATTCATTGGTGAACAATGTAACTGTTCCAGTCCCTGGAAACCTCTCCTAGTGGTTTCATGTTAAATAGTATGGGGGATAAGATGGAACTCTGTGGGACCTTACAACACAAATGCCAGGGGGTTGAGCAGCAGTCCCCCAGCACCACCTTCTGGAATCGGTTGGTCAAGTAAGGGTGGAGCCACTGAAGCATGGTGTTCTCTACTTCCAGCCTGGCCAGTCTCTCCAGAATGATACCATGGTCATATATTTTAAAAAATCACTTATAGTCTGCTTTTCTCACTGAGACTCAAGGTAGATTTCACTAGAATACAAAATAGATCAATAAAACTAAAATGCAGAAATCAGGAGAATTCATTAAAAATAGCATTATACATACATTAGAACAGTATGATACATGCAACAAAACTGGATTCCAAAATTAGAGAGCAGTGCAAAAAAACCAGTATAATATATACAATGAACAAAACAATGAAAACTGCCTAAAAATTCACAGGTATTAACTACAACCCTATACCCTTTATAAGAATATATCCTTCTGAATAATTCAGTTTTGCATGTTCTGCAGAACAATAAAGCATGGGAGGCAAGCCAGTGTACAAGGGTGCTACAACAGAGCATGTTTGGGCCATGGCTCAACATCTTTCCCTTTTTCAAGGTGGTACCTTCAGAAAGCTTTGCTCAGATGAACAAAGCTTCTGCAGCATAGTATTTTGGGAGAGGTGATCCTGCATGTATGTGGGAGCTAGACCATGAAGGTGATAACCAGTACTTTGAATTGAACCCTGAAACTAATTGATAATCTATGAAGCCACTACAGGGTTAGTGCAATATGCACACTCCACCTAGTTCTGAGTCAAACTGTGGTATTCTATATCAGCTGGAGTTTTCAAGTTGTCTTCAGGGGAAGACTCATCTAGGAGTACATTACAGTAGTTCAACCACACAGTTACCATGGATCCATGTCGCAAAATCAACTGGGACAAGTTACGGAGCCATCCTCTGGGCTAGATGAATATGGAAGAAATAATTCGTTGTGCAGCTGAATTAACTTGCTTTTCCAGCACTAATGCTGAATACAGTATTTCCTGTAAACTCTTAATGGAGTTAGTGAGGGTTGCGTATCAACTGTGGGCAGCACAGTACTCTGCAAGACCTCAACCTTCTCAGCCAGCATCATCTCCATCGTGTTAGGATTCACTTTCAATTTATTCATCTTTAGCTACCAGGCACTGGCTTAGGATAGTTAAAGTAGTAGCAGGCAGAGTGGATTAAAAATATAGACTTGGTGTTGTCAGTATATAGATGACAGGCAACTTCAAAACTATGAATGATTAAAAAAAAAAAAAAACCTATGAATGATATCTACCAAGGGCTTTACATAAGGACTGAGCATGAGAGATAAAGTCGAACCTTGTGGATCCCCCCAAGACAAGTTGCACACTGATGACAACTGGTCTACAACAGCATCTCTTTGAGCCCAGTCCATAAGGAACAACTTAAATTAATCTGATGGACATTCCTTGATACCTGCTTCAACCTTCAAACATCTCAACAACATGGCATGGTCCACTGTTTACAATTCCAATAATAACAACAAAGAAACACATACCCCCTGTCTACATTCAAATGGAAATCAATTAAAGCCACCAAATGGTAGTTTCTGCCCTGTAGCCTGGCCTGAAGCCAGAATGAAAGGTATAGAGCAGATGTATCATCCAGAAAGACTTGGAAATGATCTGCAACCACTATCTTAAATTACCTAGCCAGAAAGAGCAGATTAGAGATGAAGAATATAACAGCAGTGAAAGCAAAATTGAGAAGTAAATTAGAAAATACATATGTTGCTTCTTCCAGCCTGTATGTTCGGTTAGAGTAAAAATAACTTTAACCCATTCAGAGTATACATTGCAATTTACAAAAAAAATTACAAGGGAGTTTGTTGGGGGAATGAAATACTACAGGGCAAATTACTTTATTAAGATTGAGGGGTACTGTGGATTTGTAGAAGATTGAAAATGAAGTGATGGGGGTGGGGTGTGGTGGCTGTCCTTCCGGTTGGCTGCAGCTCTCACACTCCCCTGCTATCCCCAACAAAAATAATGTTTTGCTTCTCAACAAACAAGATATCTTTTTAAAAATTCTCAATGCCAGGCATGGTAAGGACCAGAGGAAAAAAGGGAGCTAGAAACCTGCCTTATGAACCGCCGAGGAAAGACATTATTGACTCGGAAGAATCAGACCAAGAGACCTCTTTGTTTGAAGAAATGGCGGAAGTGGGAGGAAAGCTAGACCAAAGTTACCAGGCTCCGATTACACAGGTACTAACAGAAATAAAGGAAGAAATAAAAAAGTGAGATAAAAACTTTGAGTGGTGATCTTGGGCAATTAAGGAAGGAATTCGCGCAGCTCAAGCTCGCAATTGACCCAATAAATCAAAAATTGGATGAACTTACCTCATCGTTGAAAGCGACAGGGGAAAAAGCTGAATCTGCATTTCAAATTGCCAGAAAAGCGGTTGATAATTTGTCGGAGGTACGAGAGTTTGAAAAGCGGGCTAAGAACAAAATTATTCTTCAGGAGACCAGGTTAAGAGAAAGAAATGGAGTTTCCTCAAACTTCTGTGCAGCAGGAAATCTTAAAGAGGAACTAAACAAATGGCTTCAGCAGACTCTTTGATCGGCAGGAGAAGCAGAGACTTCAGAAGAGTTAATCACCTCAGCCTTCCGAATAAACATATCAAAAAGAGCCCATGAAGACGCCTTGCCAGACATAATTATGGAGTTCAAGGAGCTACAGACTAGAAACAGACTTTTAAAAATAGCACGAGAAAAACAAGGTCTGGCCCTTGAAGATACGTGGTTTTTTTGTATCGTGAGACAAAGACTATGTGAAGCAGCAAAGACACTGAGAGAAAAAGAGATCCCTTACAGATGGTTAGCGCTCGGCCACTTGGTGGTCATTTTAAGTAACAAAACGTTCTCAGCACATAATGAGACAACCGGTAAAAAGTTAGTGGAGGCTGTTATTAAATTGAAGGAAGGAGGTGTTTGAAGGGAACAATGTGTTCTGGCACTGATACTTAGGTTATAGTGTGTGTATGAAAAAACAGTTGAAAGTTGAGTTTATTAGTATAAGAGTAGACTTAGACTCTAAATATTATTGAGCAAGAATGTTATGTAAGAGTTAAGTGTTAGATTAGGGTATAGCAAGGAGGTGAAGAGTGTGCCCCCCCCAAGACCTCCAATATAGGGAGGGAGGAGGTTCTTCCTCCCGCTGTAGAGTTCTTCTCTTCAGCCCCCATAAATGGAGGCAATTCCTTTCAACTTTTCTTTTCAGGAATAGAAGAAGACGGATAGTAGTAACTGATGTAGGAATGAACTGAAGAATATGAAATGTATCAAGGTTAATTATAAGTTTTGGGGAAAGTTGTATAGGGACCTAATTAACGGGTAAGATAGGGGCATAAAAAAAGAGGAGGGATTAAATGAGATTAAAAAGGATTGGGTTGATGAAATAGCAACCTCAGGGAGTTTTTCTTTCTTTCTTTTTTTGCTTGGTTATTACTTGTGTAAAAAAGTTGAAAATGAGCATATCAATAAGATGGGTAACAATTTGTGTATTTGTAGATTGATGGATATACTCAATAAAAATATTATTATATAGAAAAAGAAAATGAAGTGATACCAACATTTTCCAAGATTTGTATCAGTTAGGCCCCATGTTTTGGTCAAAGCGCTAGAAGATTGTAAAAAAAATTGATTGTAGGTAAAAACATTTTGCTGTTAGTATTAGTTGCATTCTCTGTATTAAAAAATCTAGCTTGTCCTTCCCTTTCCATCAGAGGGAACCTAAAAACTACTAACAACCATTAAAATACATGCTCAATATTATCAGTAGACAAAATCATTAGAAAAAGGACTTCTGCTGCCATTAACCTCAAACATTCTTAAATAGTGCCATGTTACAAGCTTTTCTAAAAGTGTACTGCTTTACTTTACTGTTGTATCCCTTTGAGGAGTGACTGGAATTCCCCATTTGTGGACTGCCACTAAATCCAGTAGTTGTCACAGCTAGCTTCATGCATGCCTGAGTGAGGCAGATTGTACCCCACAGAGGCTGGATTTGGTCTTGGGGCTGTCAGTTGTTGATCCTTAGGCTAATATGTTGAATTGATATTGTAATATAATTATGCTACTGGAAATGTGAACATACCTACCTACAGTACTATAAGAATGTTTTTCCTGTCTTATATTTTATGTGAAACAGGTGCCCTCGTATATTTTTTCTATTCTGCTAGAAGGATTTTTTCTAAACCCCCCCCCCCACTCAGAAATAGTTACTTTTTAAAGCAATTACTACTAGCTGGTGAATGTTTAACTCTTCAGATCATACCTCACTCCAGTTCGGGATGAAGAATCTGAATCCCAAAGAAAAGCTAGATCGAGACAAGCAAGGCAGTCCAGAAGATCCACACAGGTATGCTGGTCCTATAAGTCAAATTTAGAAATTATATATTAGCACTGGTGATAGCTACATTTGTGGCTTAGTCTTCATTGTGTCATATTGCCTATCTGTTCAAGGGGCCAGTGGGACAAACAAGGCCTCTGTAGATTTCCCCCTGTCATCTGGAACTATTTGCTATACTGGCATCTTTCTGCAAGTGTCTCTGCACAGTGCAGATTCTATAGCTAGAATTTGGGAACCTATGTTGTTTAGTAGTTGATCTTAATATGCGAGCCAAGAGCTTTATGTATCGAATGTCAACTTACCAATTTTTATGTTGGAAGGTTTAAGGCAAAACTATCTAGTCTCAACTTCTTTATCTGTAATGAAAAATAATAGTCTATGAGAAATAGTTTTAGCATTTAGAGTATAGTTGACATTGTTTGGGTTGGGATGTTTGCTGGTGCCTTTCTGAAGGGAATGTATTTTTGATTCCTTCTAATTGATTCCCCTGGATTCCTCTCCAGAAACTTGTCAAACTGTAAATATTGATAGTACCAGTTCATTCCATGAAGCTTTTACATTTTGTATCCATTGTTTCAGATCTGCTGTTATAGAAAATTTATAGGTGTTAAAGTCTCATGGCTTTCATCTATTAAAAAGCAGCCATTGGCATTTTTTATTTGTGTTTATCTCATTAGTATTGTCATGATACTGCTGTCCAGAGAGCAACTGAACAGCCATTTAAACTAAGCTCTTTCGAAAGAAGATTCCTGTGCTCTATGGTTGTTCCTTGAACTTAAATTGGAGCTGAAAGTTTGCCTTCTGCTTTTCTGCCTATCCATCATAAAACAGATTTATGTATGAAATGGGAGCTTTGACTCTTGAAAGCTTGTACCCTGAAATACCCTGAGGTATTGGTCTCTGAGGTGCTGTTGGACTTGAATCTAGCATGGGCCACTGCAGACCAACATGGCTACCCTCAGAAACTATGCGACTTGAAAAGGGCACATTCATAGAAACAACTCTTTCCTGTTAATTAATTAGTTAATTAATTAATTAAATTGGATTTGCTAGGCTGCCCTTCTTACTAGTAGGGCTCAGAGTGGCTTACAACAAAATAATATACTAACTCTCAATTTAAAATCTGAGTTAAAACAAGCCAATAAATATCAATAGATAAAAACAATATACATGTACAATATACAGGATGGTGGAAAAAATTCCAGCTCCCCATCCTTCTTGGGGGGAGGGGTTACAAGGGATGGGGAAGTATATGCCAAAGAGTGCCCTGTCGCTGTCCTCAACCAAAGGCCTGGCAGAACATCTCTACCTTACATGCCCTGGGGAAAGGTAATAACTCCCACAGGGCACAGATGTCTTCCAGCAGAGAGTTCCACCAGGTGGGGACCAGGTCCCTAAAAGCCCTGGCCCTAGTCGAGGACAGCTGAACTTCTCTCGGGCCAGGGACCACCAGGAAGTTCTTATTCTCTGAGCATAACACTGTTCCAGGAACATACTGGGAGAGGCGGTCCTGAAGATATGTAGGTCCCTGACTGCTAAGGGCCTTGAAGGTCAGAACCAGAACCTTGAACCTGATCCAGTCTCCACTGGAAGCCAATGCAGCTCACGCAGCACTGGTTGAATGTGTGAGGACCTGTGTGGCTGCATTTTGGACCAGTTGGAGCTTCCGGGTCAGGCACAATGGCAGGCCTGCATAGAGCGACTTAGAATAGTCTAACCTGGAGGTGTCTGTGCCAATAAAGGTTTTGAACTTGACTTGAAACCTGGAGGTGACCGTTGCATGGATTACCATGGCTAGGTCAGGGTGAGAAAGGTAGGGAGCCAGCTGTCTAACCTGGCACAGTTGGAAAAATGCCAGCTTGGCAACCTTCACAACCTGTGCCTCCATGGACAGGGAGAAATCCAAAGTCATGTCCAGGCTCTTGACGGTCTCTGCCGATGACAGAGGCACACCCTTAAAAATTGGGAGCTGGCAACCCAATCAAGGCTGCTCCCCCACCCAGCCACAGAACCTCCGTCTTACCTGGATTCAGTTTCAGTCAACTCTGCTTTAACCATCTCACCACAGCCTCCGGACTGTCAGCTAAGTTCCCGGAACGGTATCTGGCCGGTTACCCATCAACAGAAATAGCTGGGTGTCATCAGCATATTGATGGCACCCCAGCCCGAAACTCTGCACTAGCTGGGCAAGGGGGTGCATGTAGATGTTAAACAACATCGGGGAGAGAAGTGCCCCCTGAGGAACCCCACATTCCAATAGGTACCTTGAGGACACTGTCCCTCCCAGTGCCACCCTCTGTCCCTTACCATGGAGAAATGAGGTGAGCTATTGCAAGGCTGCCCCACATATTCCAGATGGCTGCCTAGGCTTTCCCCAGCTGCCACAACTGCATTGTGGCTATTTTTGCAAGTGTACATCTTGAACTGGGGAATACTCTTATAATAACCCTGGTATCTGTACCTGAGTGCAAAACATAGTTTGAGAAACTGCGCTGCTGTTAAACATTACCTCAGAACTATAAAATGTCATGAACACTTATTCCCCCCCTTTCTAAAAAAGGTACTTACCTTAAATTTTGATTTAATGCCAGTATGTGTTAGATTGGATGATAGATACTTATATGTTATGCTTTGGGGTGGGGTTCTTCTGCAGGGTGTAACACTGACTGATCTTCAGGAAGCTGAAAAAACTATTGGTAGAAGTCGTGCCACCCGACCTAGAGAACAAGAGAATGAGGAAAAAGAAAAGGAGGAAAAAGAAAAACAAGACAAAGAAAAACAGGAAGAAAAAAAGGAATTGGAAGCTAAAGATGATGATTATAGGCAAAGATACACACGAACTGTTGAGGAGGTATTGTATGCTTTTGTTTTATGGTAGTAAGTGGTTTACTTAATTAAAATATCTGGATTGACATGCTTCCTTCCTAACATTTCGAAATTGATTTGCATTTTTGTTCCTGTTGAATAGCCTTATCATCGATATAGAACTACATCTTCAACTACTTCATCAACGTCTTCAATTGCCACCTCTTCTAGTTCTCTCTCTTCAAGCCAGTTAAACAGACCAAACAGCCTTATAGGTATAACTTCTGCTTATTCCAGGAGTGGAGCAAAGGAAAGTGAGAGAGGTAAGGGTTCTCTATTACTTCCTTCTTTGTTGTTCATGGTCAATGAAAATGCTGCTATGGTAGATCTTCACAAATAATGGGTAAAACAAGTAGCAGTCTTCTTGTGCTATCACCACTCCTAGGAGTGCTATTTCTTCAAAAGGTTTCTTTGAGAATGGTTATCTTTAATCTCCATCTGTAGGACAAGTGCATTCTTGTTTTTTAAATTTCCATAATGCTTTAGGTGTTGAATTGTAATTTTGAGTTATGGTGGAGTTGTTCAGATAAATAAGCTGAACATTTTTAGAATATGGCCATGTGAGAATATCGCTTTTCCTTAATATAAATTCATTTTTCAGCCCTGAAAACTGGAGCAGTGAAATGTACAAGTATTTGGATTTTGTGATTTTTTAATGTTATTTCAGTGATAAAAAGTGGTCAAGTGCATGATAGCGAAGGAATGTTACATGCTTGGGCAGCCCAGCTTCATCATTCTTGTACAAGTTAATAAAAATAATTTTGGAGCTGAACAGTCAGAATCTGGAAATTCAGACTTGATTTTGCAGAATCAGTATTTGAAATCAGATTTCTCCGAGGGGCATCTGTCTCATGATCTGGATATTGCTGATTTTAAATGCATTACCAGAGGTGAAAATATAATTAAACACACATTTTTCTCCAAAAGGGTTTGTTGTGCACGGAACTCTTATGCTTCTAGCAAAACAAGTATTTATATGAATATATATGCGCTGTTTTGCCAATGCATTTGAAGATGTTATAACATGGAGATATTAGGCTTTGATTAAAGTCTTATGTATTCTATTTAGATTGGCTGAGGTAAAACTAGAATAGCAGAACAATGTATAAAGAGAATAGTGGCTGATTTTCTGTATTCAAAAACATTTTAGGCATTTGATTAATAAAACTGTGTACTGGGTGCCTTGCTTTAGGAATCACAATATAAATGTGTCATAGCATAAAGAATACTTTCTGGACCATTAAATATAAAACATTACTATTTAAATAGAAGCTGGAAAGAAAGAAGAAGAAAAAGAAGAAGATAAGTCACAGACAAAATCAATAAGGGAAAGAAGACGGCCAAGAGAAAAACGAAGATCAACTGGAGTTTCTTTTTGGACTCAAGATGTAAGTGAGAATCCACTGTAACTGCCACTAAATATGTATTTGCAAATAGGGAGCATTCAGTCAAACAGGACTTGTTCAGTGAGTGACATTACTATTCAGTGAACCGTTTCTGAAAATGTAGCTTCTACATTGCATACTTAACATTTCAGATACACGTAATGTTCTTCGGGATTTTTTCTCCCTTTCACCTTTTTCCTCAGGATTTTCATTTTTTCTTTTGTCTTTACTGTTTTAAAAAAATGAACTTTTCCCCCTTCGTTTGGCTTCGGCCTCTTCCCCCCAAGCCCGCCATTGGATTTCTTTCTCTCATTCTTTGGTTATTTTATGGCTAAATGGGAATTTATTTATTTTTTTAAAAAAATATATATTTTTAATTGGATTTTTTGAATATATACATAGCCACCACCTAATCACCACAAATACACCGCAAGTACATAATCCAAGCAGTAACATAACCGAATCCTCTCCAACACAATTTAGGTACTCCACATAAATTCATTTCTTTCCAATAAATCTATATATCTTGACAATAATTCAAAAAATCGACAGTGATATCTGGATTCTCTTTTTAGACAAGTCTTTACATTTTCCTCAAAATACATCTTCCCATTTGCTCCAAAATGATATTCTGCTCTACCAAATACATCTGCTTATTATTTTGAATACGCCTTCAGATTTTCCTTCCTTAACTTTATCTGGCCTAAACAATTTCTTTTGCCAGCACTATACGCCTTATTTGCTTCCAAACAGTTCAGTGTTTTAATATTTTCCAGCTAAAATCCTGGTTAATTAATCACTTTCTACAAAATTCGCTTATTTACCCTTCCCCCCTTCACGACTTCCCTTTCCTCATGTGCTATTGCTATTCTTATATATTTAAATATGAAAACAAAACAGAACAAAATTATATATTCCTCCTGATACTTCCACAAAGACCACCATCAAGTTACTTCATTTAACTATTTCTTACTTTCAATTTATAGTCCCATGTTTCCTTTTAAACAAACAGCTATAGAAAACATTTCATCCTTTAATCATTTACTTTCACCTGCAGCTTAACTTATACTTAAAAAACAGAAAACACAAAACAAACCTTGAAATTTCTCCTAATATATCCAGAGAAAAAGCCTTTAAATTACTTCCTTTGACTATTTCCTACTAATATAATCGTAGCTCCACTTCCCCCTTTAAACAAATTCTTAGGGGGAAAAAACAAAAACAAAAACCTCTCAGCCTTTAATCCCATACTTCAAAAGTTCATATAGCATGCAATTCTCCCTTTACAGAAAAAAACCATAATAACAAAATTAATAATTTATAAATCTTAATCTTTTATTAAACTTCTGGCTCCACCCATTCTACATCACACTGTCCACCCCCTCTGACCTGGTCCGCCCAGGTCACCCAGGTGGACCCTGAGACACCCAGGTGCATCCTGGGAGCCCACCTTGCAGGTATTCTTGGAGATCTCCAGGAGTCACCTGGAGATTCCTGACACCAAATCCCTCAATTCCTTTTCAAGTCAAGCTATTTGCATAACTATGGCAGGTAATTGCCCTAGCTTCCTGCCCTTCCAGAGAGAACAGGGGGAAAACAGGAACACTTTAAAAACTCAGAATGTGGAGGGGGGTTTCTCCACAAGCCCTAACACCAGAGCTGCCGAACATCACCCCTGCTCCTCCTATTCAGCTTCTTGACTCACTGATTCGGCAGTTGAACCCGCTGGTGTCGAAGCAGTTTTCGGGCACCCATCCTCCCTCCCCCTCTGTATCGGAGGTTGATGAAATTGTTTTGCAATATTCTCCACGGTGATCCTGATCCAGGTCTCCGTCCTTCGATAGCGGTTGGTCTTGATCACCCTTCAGTATTGATCATCTACATTGTTCTCAGGATACTGTTGATTGTCAAAGTCCTTCATCATGATTTCGATGCCAGTCACCACAACAGGGTTATTCCCCTTCCAGATCTTCAGTGCAGTGTTATCAACCGCCTGAGCAGCGGATGATTCCTTGGGACCACCGGCAACTTCAGTACCTTTATGGTGCTTTTCCTCTGCCTTCGGCTATTCCATGGCTGACACCAGCGAGACATTTGGACTGGGACCGACGTTCTTCTGCACATCGATTCCGTTCACTGTGTGCTCATTGTCCGGCACCATCAGCTTCAGTATCGAGGCCCCCAGATTCAGTTGCTACACATCACCTCTCTCCTCGACGCCGATCCCCTGTTCCTCTGAGGCCAGACCAGTTGGCACTGACATCGCCGCCAACATTGGCATCTCTTATGTTCTTAAATTTTACATCTCTAGTTTGGGAATATAGAGCTATGAGTTTTTGATGAAAAATTGCATTCTTTTGTGAAACGTTTGTCAAATAGATATAGTTTCAGTCACATTTTTATTTAAAGTTCAATGCCACCTTTCTAAATGAACAGCAAACAAAAATTAAAACCTGTAAAACAAAAGCCTGTATAATCTAAAAGTGAAACAGCAACAACTGGATCCAATAGATATTGTTTACCTTGACTTCCAGAAAGCTTTTGATAAAGTTCCTCATCAAAGGCTCCTAAGTAAGCTCAAAAATCATGGGATAAAAGGACAAGTCCTTTTATGGATCAAAAACTGGCTAATTAATAGGAAACAGAGAGTGAGTATAAATGGGCAGTTCTCTCAGTGGAGGGGGGTAAGCAGTGGGGTACCGCAGGGATCAGTACTTTTTTTAACTTGTTCATTAATGATTTGGAGTTGGGAGTAAGCAGTGAAGTGGCTAAATTTGCGGATGATACGAAGTTGTTCAGGGTGGTGAAAACCAGTGAGGATTGTGAGGCACTCCAAAGGGATCTGTCAAAGATGGGCAAGTGGGCATCAACATGGCAAATGGGGTTCAATGTGGCCAAGTGCAAGGTGATGCACATTGGAGCCAAAAATCCTAAATATAAATACACGTTGATGGGGTCTGAACTGGCAGAGACTGATCAAAAGAGAGATCTTGGAGTTGTAGTAAATAACTCACTGAAAATGTCGAGACAGTGTGTGACTGCAATAAAGAAGGCCAATGCTATGCTGGGGATTATTAGGAAGGGTATTGAAAACAGATCAGCCAATATCATAATGCCCCTATATAAATCAATGGTGCAACCTCATTTGGAATACTGTGTGCAATTCTGGTCACCACACCTTAAAAAGGATATTATAGCTTTGGAAAAAGTGCAGAAAAGGGCAACTCGAATGATAAAAGGGTTGGAACACTTTCCCTATGAGGAAAGGTTAAGGCGCTTAGGGCTCTTTAGCTTGGAGAAACGACGACTGAGGGGTGACATGATTGAGGTTTATAAGATTATGCATGGGAAAGAGCAGGTAGAGAAAGAGGTACTTTTCTCCCTTTCTCACAATACAAGAACTCGTGGACACTCCATGAAATTGCTGAGCGGTCGGGTTAGAACGGATAAAAGGAAGTACTTCTTCACCCAAAGAGTGATTAACACATGGAATTCACTGCCACAGGAAGTGGTGGCGGCTATAAGCATGGACGGCTTCAAAAGGGAATTAGATAAGCATATGGAGCCGAGGTCCATCAGTGGCTATTAGCCACAAGGTATAGATAGGGACTCTGGGGCAAGTGATGCTCTGTCATCTTGGTGCTTGGGGGGGGTCAACAGTGGGAGGACGTCTAATGTCCTGGCCCCACTGGTGGACCTCCTGATGGCACTGGTATTTCTGGCCACTGTGTGATACAGAGTGTTGGACTGGATGGGCCTTTGGCCTGATCCAACACTGGCATCTCTTATGTTCTTATGTTCTTAACTGAAACCTAAAAACAATCAGAAAGCCAGCTCAAGATGACTAGGTTGCAGTAAAATTAATCCAACAGGTTAAAGCATAAGAAGTATATGGAATTATCAGTGACAACTTTTCTGAAGATGTATCATAGTTTAACAAGAAGAAAACATCTTTGTTTTTATCACTATCATCACTAATAATTGTATGCATTTCTTTTTAGTCATTTTAAAACATTCAAATTTTAATTAATTTAATAACCAACACTTATCATGCACATGTTCCAATTAGCTGTAGCAGAAGCAGCTTATTTAAAATAAGACCAAATTTGTTGCAAAACAGGTCAAAAGGTAAAGAGAAGTAAAGGAGAAGGTAGCAGGAAAGAGACTGAGAAGAGGGGTAGGAAACAGCCTGGCGTGAATTAGAAACAAACACCATAGTTTTGGTTAATAGAAGTGAAAAGCAGAATCTAGAGCTGCATGACCTAGCTGTACTCAGCTCCAGGCTTTCCCATCCACCCCCTCTGATCCAAGGTGGAAGCTGTGAGTGGGAGGAGAGGCTGGCCATTCCAACCAAGTTTCAGTGCTTTTTAGCAAGCAGAAGATATTGAGACCTGGACAGAAATTGTCAAAGCCTATCTTACTGAAAAACTATCAAGACTTTTGTAAAGCTTCAAATTCTAAACTAACTAGCTTTTTAATATCTACATGGGCAAGATTATATACCAAGAAGATTATATACATGGGCAAGATTACATAGCATTTCCCCAGAATGATAGATACTGTCAGTAATGCCGGAGAATTGAGGCGCTCCTCCGCCCCGAAGGTCCTGCCGCTGAGTGTTCATATGGAATTAGTGTGGCTGACCAGGACAAGCGTTGGAGATCGGGCAACAAAAACCGATGCCGAGCGTGGCCGGATGGCCAGCAATGAACTGTGAGTCGGGTTGAAGCGAGCATGAGGATTTAAAAATAAAGCTTCCCTTCCTTAATGAGCGACGAAAAGCGAGCGGGGGAGGGGCCCCTCCCAAACGCATAAACGAAAACACGGAAATAAAGAGGGGGGGGGAGCAAAAAAATAAGTGTCTAAATCCGTTTTAAGAGACTTACCAGAGCGCAGATAAGCGTATGGGCGAATATCAGAGACTAGCAACTTTTTAAAAAGTAAATAATCCAAAAAGATGGCGGGGAAGAAACCAGAAAACTACAAACTGTTGAAAGCAAAACTAGTGGGCAGTCCTCAAACGGAAGAGACCACTGAGCTTTCTAAAATGTTGGCAGATTCCTTGCACCCTCTGCTGGATGAGATAACTAATATCAAGCAACAATTGTCAAAAATTGGTCAGAGTTTGGCTTCACAGCAGCTACAACTGACTAAATCTTTAAATGCAACAGAGCAAATGGCAGAGAAGGTGAAGGAAATGGACGCCAATACTAAAAAAGTTAAGAAAAAGGTGCAAAAGCTGGAAATGAAACAAGCTACGGAAGAGTCACAACTTTTACAGCTGCAAATGGAGAAAGCAAATTTGGTCCTACGGTTCCAAGAGGTCCAGGAATCTAAAGGAGAGAATCTGAAGCAACTGTTGAGTAATGCAATAGCCCCAATGACAGATTTGACAGCGGAATATCTTTACAGCGAGATGGATGTGGTCTACAGGTCCTATTCCTTATATATCAAGAAAAATAATCTGCCTGGGGAAATAGTAGTCAGATTCTCGAAGAAACATGTGAGAGATTCTATTTTGAAAGCAACTACAGGAACACCCTTGAAAATCGGGGGAAATAATATCAGGATTTTAAAAGACATTCCATTTGAAATAAGACAGAAGAGAAAGAAATATAAAGACTTAACCCTTTTTAAACAAACAAATGGCATCAGTTATAGATGGTTAACTCCAGAAGGTGTCATTTTCAAACTCCACGATAAAAAAAGAAAAGATTGACTCTGTTCCTAAAGCATGTGAGTTTCTGAGAACACAGCTGGGGGAACCAGCGGAGGACAAGAAGAAAGAAGAAGAAAGCAAATCGGATGGCGAGTTAGGCTTGGTGTCTTCTGACAAGGACTCTGTCTCTGAAAAGGGGGCGGCAGCCCCCAAAAGTTCATATAAATTGAGGATAAGAAAAGATATGAGAAAATAAAGGCTGAAGGACTCTGATTTGTGCCTGAAAAATTAGAAATAACTTTGGGATACTCTGAGGGTTTCATTTAACAGATAAATGGATGGTTAAAAGATAAATAACTTAGCATAACCGACTATGTTCAATGTATTGCTAGTATTTTAGATAAACATTGAGATAAGCGGATGTATTGATCTCCCACTCTTGGGGTTTTAGTTATTAGTGGGTCTCTTTTCTTTCTCCTTAGATGTAGTTTTCCTTCCCATATTTTCGGTTATAGTTTGTAGTTTTGTGGAAAAAACCCCCAATAAAAAAACTCCCCTTGGGGGATTCAAAAAAAAAGAAAAAGGAAATTTACCAAGGCCTGCACTAAGATATCAGATAATTCCTTTTTCTGTATGTTAAAACCTGTTTTTTCCTGTTGTTCATGTTTATAGCCTATGCCAATAAAGGGACTGACTTACTGACACTAAGATGTCGTGTGAAAACAAGCTTGTATAATGTGAGAGGTAAAACAGTGGCACAGATTAAAAATTAGCTTCCAAAACAGAAGTTTGAATTCATGGTTTCCTATTTATTTGTTCATTTGTTTTTAAAAGGTAAGCATGATAAGAGGAGCAGGGTTGAGGCTATAGCTCAGCTAGTGAGGTCTGGTTTTTTCATATTTTTTGCCTTATAAAAATAGTTCCTGAATACTGGGGAGTATGTATGTAAATCATTTAAATGGCTTTTCTTCTCCAGAGCGATGAAAATGATCAAGAGCATCAGTCTGACTCAGAGGAGGGAACAAATAAAAAAGAAGCTCAGGTAATTGTTAAAGTTTCTTTATGTTTCTAAAATGGATTTTCCTATGGTATGTATTTGCTTCTATTTAAAAAAAAAAATGGTTCATCTGCGTGTCTTCTGTGCAGTCCCACATGGGACTGCCTGGAGGCAGGCCTGCCACAGGAGAAGGTTCCAAGAGCTTCTAGAATTCTTAAGAAAGAAATTCATTACTCCCCCTCCCCTCGTGGAGGAAAGCTGCAGTTTGTTTTCCCACCCATTTGGTCATGTGACGAGGGGAGGGGGAGGCACTCTTCCCTCAGTCCTTTTTCTGCCACTGTAGGAAAAGGACGTTCCAGAGTGTGTGTCTCTTCAATTTACCTCACGGATAAAAATAGCAACAACAACAACAACAAAAATTCGCAGAAGGGCAGAAGGAAACAATAGCTCTCTTTAAGAAGTGCCATTCCTGTGGGACTAAGATGGCATCGAATGATGAGCACCTTAAGTGCCTTCTCTGTCTGGGCGAGGGGCATAAAAAAGCTTCCTGCAGGGCCTGTGGGCTCTTGACTCCAAAGACGAGACAGGACAAAGCCCTTTGGCTGAAGGTGGCCCTTTGGGAACAATCCTTAGCAGGCCTGCCACAACAGCCTTCCCCCAAAGTGTGAGATAAGACTCCTCAGAGAGCACTCGAAAAGTCCCATCGTCCGAGACAATCCTCGGCAGGGACGCCTCGCAGCTCGTCCTCCTCTTCTCAGTCTCCTGTAAAAAAGCTCAAGGATAACGGGGGCAAAGCTTTGACTTCCGTGGCTGAGGTAGCACCCCCCGAGAAGTTATGATCAGTGATGCCTCCTCTGCCTTTACCCGGGGCATCTGCCTCTCTTTCTGCCGATGTGCCAGCCCTGAAAGCTGACGAGGCTCTGTCAACACGGAAGCCATTGACGGCAGATCCACCACCGATGCGGATGGGCTCTGCCCAAAGAAGATCAAGGTCGACTCGATGTCGCAGCCTGCATTCTCAATGTTGTAAATCCTCAACATCGAGCCCAAGAGTAACGGATCGACGGCGAGATCTCTCTCTGAGTTCTGCTAGGTCTCTGTCTTCAGCCAATGATGTTGAGGTCATTAGCCTTCCACCATCCAAGGACTCATCTCGCTCCCATTCCCCTTGCTATAAGAGGCAGAACACCCCTGCATGGGGTTACCCTCCAACTTGGGGTCCTGTGCCTCCATGGGTCATGCCTCAATGGTATCACCTGGAGTTGACCAGCCACACTAAACATCGAGGTCAAAATGCTTTGCCATGCCGTCAGTGATCCAGAACCCGTTCAAGGTCGAGCAGCCGTCAGATTTCCCCTGTTCACCAGGGAGCATCCTCTTTCATTTTTGAACCAATGAATGACCCTCCTTTGGATAGAGAATCTGAGTGCACCTCTCTCCCTTCCCTGGATGAGGCTGTGGGAGATCCGAGTCCTGTTTCACCTACTGAGGACTTAAGAGTGTATTCTGAACAACTGCTCAGAATGGTCAAGGCTCTGAAGATTGACGTTACTTCTCTGAAGCCAGCTAAAGAAGATCGAGTGATGGACATTTTGTATTGTTCTGATCCTGGTCCTGTGGCAATCCCACTAGTTAAGGGCATTAAGGGGAGATAATTAACAATACTTGGGCAAGGCCCTCCTCTAATGCCTCTTCCACTCATAAAGTGGAGAATCTGTACAAGATTAAGGAGGAGGATGCCACGGCGGAGAGGGCAGGATATAAATTTGATAAATAAATAAATACATTTTTGTATCATCACCTGCAACCTAGACCCCGCTCTTCTCCCCTTGACCAGTAGGGTAGGAAGTTAGATATCTTGGGGCGTAAGATGCATTCTTCAGGTGCCCTGGCTCTCAGAATATCCAATGTTAAGGCAATCATGGCTAGATACCAGGTCCTCCTATGGGAACAGATGTCTCCATTCATAGACTGTTGGCAGATGAGAAGAAGGGCCAAGCTAAACAGGTCCAGCTTGAGGGCTCTAAATTAGCCAAGCAAGAATTGAATGTGGCCAGGCATACTGCTGATGCGGCCAGTAAGGTTATTGCTTCAGCCATAGTGTTGCATAGGCACTCTTGGCTCCGCACGCCTGCCCTTCCCTTAGACACCAGGTCTCGTATTGAAGACCTTCCCTATGAGGGCAAGCTCCTTTTCAGTGAGCAGATGGATGAGGTGTTAGAGAGGGTCCGGAAGACTAAGTACACAGCTAAGTCCTTGGGACTGGCATCACAACAGCCATCGACTAACAAGCCAAGGTATTTTCCTAGGCATTTTCAACAACCTTCTGTTGGCAGGGAATATAGGTTCCAGACGACCCCTTTCCAATTCTATAGGGGCTCCTACAACACTGCTTATAGCAATACTTATCCCCCTCAGAGGCAGCAGCCTCGGCAACGCAATCAACACAATCATTCCTCCCACAGTTCTTCTGGTTCTAAGCCCACAGTACCACAGTGCACGTCTACTGCTCTGTTCAGGGCACGCCTTACCTCCTTTTCTGAGAGTTGGTCTGTTATTTGTTCTGTTGTTTGGGTTCAGGATATAATAAAGTTCGACTACTTTTTAGAGTTTAGAGATGCACCCCCTGCTTTTTATGAGGTTCCTGCTAGATCCTCCCAACAGGATACTTTGGGTCCTGAAATCCAGTGTCCCTGAATCAGAGGAGTCCATTGGGTTTTATTCGAACTATTTTCTGATAAAGAAGAAGGGTGGAGGACTCAGACCTATATTAGATCTCAGAGACCTTAACTCATCCCTAGACGTCCGTAGGTTCCGCATGTTGTCCCTTGAGGATGTTTACCCTTCCATTGTGCAGGGTGCCTGGTTTGCGGTTATTGATCTGCAGGACGTATATTTTCATATTTCGATTCATGAGGATTGTTGAAAATACTTACGTTTCAGGTTTCAAGGTAAAATCTACCAATACTCTGTTTTGCCTTTTGGCTTAGCCACAGCCCCAAGAGTCTTCACTAAATGTTTTTCTGCAGTGATTGCCAATCTTAGATTACAGGGCTGCACAGTCTATGCCTTTCTAGATGATTGTCTTCTCATGGCTGACTGTAGAGACGAACTGATCTCTCAAGTAGACTTAACTCTGTGCACATTAACTTGGTTGGGGATTGTCATTAATCTGGAGAAATCCGCCCTTACCCCATCTCAATCTGTGGAGTTCACAAAACGTTTTTACCTATTTCCCAAAGCAGAGCTATTCAATCTACGGTACAAAGGTTCTCTGCTTTACGGTTTCAGAGAGCCATCCAAATTAAAAAGCTCCTAGTCCTCATGGCGGTCACAAGTTCTACCATTCGCTATGCAAGGCTCCATATGAGACCTTTACAAAACTGGTTCCTACACACTTTCATTGTAGGAGTTGACCCTCAATGGCAATGTCTGTCCATCCCCAGGCCTGTGCTTAAATCCCTGTCATGGTGGTCAGAGGACTCGAACTTATTAGAGGGTTTCCCCTTGGCACCAACTCTGCCCCAATTGCATCTTTACACGGATGCTTCCCTGGAAGGCTTGGGTGTGCACTGTGGCTCAGTGGTTGATGGACACCCTATGAAGCTACTTTACACATTAATGTTCTTGAACTCAGAGCGGTGAGGTATGCTCTCCTTTCTCTTCTAGACCAGACAGCTAGCAAGAACATTTTACTCTCTACCGACAGTGTAGCGACGAAGTGCTATATCAACAGACGGGGGGCACGGAGTCACTTGCACTGTGCAGAGAGGCCTCCCTTCTTTGAGCATTGGCAATTCACCACAGAATTCATGTGGTGGCCATTCACATTCCCGGTCGAACCAATATTTTGGCAGATGTGTTGAGCAGACAATCAAAGCTCAATCACGAATGGTCTGTTTCCCTAAAGTATCTGACTCCCTTTTTTCACAAATGGGGCACACCAACCATAGGCCTCTTTGCTTCCAGAGTAGGGTTGCCAAACCCCCCCCGTCAGGGGTCCCCCGTTTTGGGGGGGGTTCTACCCGCCGCCGGCCAGATGGCCGGTGGGGGAAGCCCCACCCCCAACACCCCCAGCCACCCATCTCTCTCCCTTTAAGTGTGTGCAACCCGTGTTTCATCCCAAGCGCGAACTCCGCAAGCTTGCAGGGAAAAGCCAGCTTCGTTCTTAAAAGGGAAAAGCAGCTGCTCTTAAAGGGGAAACGCCAGCTGCCGGCTACTTTAAGTGCAGGGAACTGCCGTTTCTGGAGATCCGGCACACGGGTGGGTGGGTGGGGCGGCAGACGTCCCCAACATGATGTCATCACGTTGGGGATGCCCCACCTCCTCCAGGAACACCCCCAAAGTCCCCCGCTGGGGGTGGAAGATGGACTTGGCAACCCTATTCCAGAGTGAATTCAAGATGTCCCATATTTTGCGCCTGAGCCCCAAGCGGGGGGAACTGCCATGGGGATGTTTTTATTCTCAAGTGGACAAGCGTACTATTTTATACTTTCCCACCCTTCCCACTATGTTCAAAGGTGTTAGTGAAGTTACAACATGACAAGACTCATTGCATCCTCATTGTCCCTCTATGGCCCCACCGGCCTTGGTTTCCTCTCCTACGGAGCATCTCAGGAAACCGAGCAATTCCTCTACCACTAGTTCACAACATTCTCATGATAGGTCAGATGTACTACCCGGACATTCAGATGTTACACCTACACGCATGGTTTGCAGAATTCTAGTTCTGTTATATCAGAATTTTTGGACTTGTTTTTCTCAAGCACAATCTTCCCTCTTCATGGCAAACAACTTTTTAAATGGAAGGGACATAAAGCAGAAGTTGGTGTTGTAGGTCTGCTGTTCAAAGGGGGGGGGTTAATATGCCCAAGGTCTTGGCATCCTCTCCTTGGATCCTGGCCTGTATTTCCACAAGATGTATTCTGTGATCTAATTTGTTGTCATTTCTAAATTGACTTAAGTAATATATGTGATCAGAACCCGTAATTTGAAAGGCGTTCAGTTATTGTTTTACTATTCTGCAGGAATTTGTTTACTGGTTGATTAATCCTGTAACAGAGATACAGTTGTTTAAAGTTGTTTTATTTCATTTCTTTTTCAGGGTGAAAGCCTTTCAAGGTATGTGCTCTTTTACAGTTTGGAGTTTTAAAAAGATGTAATTTTAAAAACTGTGTTAGTATTTAGGGCTTGAGCAATTCATCATGCTTATGGAGAAAAATGAACACAAATCAGGGATCCACTGCCAGCCACCCTCTTCAGATATTAAATTTTTAGAAGCTTACATGCAATTTAAACACAGCAGTGGCAGAGTGGTGATGTGGACCTTTGTCATTACAGTATACTCCTGGAAATTTCTACTGCTGGAATGGAAAAAAACATTCATTGTAATGTTCCATTAATACTATCATTAGTTGCAAAAGGGAAGGCAGGTTTGCAGAGCCCATCTGTGTGGAAGCAATTGCATACCATCACTGTGGTGGCTGAACTGAGCTTTGTATAAATCCATTTCCATTTTTCTATTTCAAGACTTTCCTACATGCTCATCTTACTTCAGTGCTGGTATAGCAGTGATTTAGATATGCATAATAAAAAAATACCACGTACTGCTTTAAATCCCACTAAATAAAAGAAGTCTTTGTAGTTCTACAGTGTTATTAGGCCCAGCTACTGGGAACTCCTCAAAATTCCCAGTAGCTGGGATTTTCCACAGTTGGTTTACAGTAGGAATAATTGGTCAGGAGATACATCCCTTTTCACTTTTAAACATTTTCAAATTGGAGAGAAATGGAAGAGAATAGAAATTGGAGAGACTTGGAAGATAACATAAATGTGTTCTAAATTTGTATAAATAGTTGGATTTGCACTGTAAAACTTGTGAAACTTTTCCTTTTATTTGAAGATACGACTCAGGATCAACAGGAGACCGTTACGATTTAGTACTAGGACGGACTGGATACAGTTACTTGGAAGACCGCAAATCCTATTCCAGTAAGCTAGATAAAGAAGATACAACAGATTTTAAAAAGGTATCTTGAGTTTAACAATAGCAGCTTAACAAAATATAACTTTATGCCTTTGTAATAATTCTGGATGGCTGTATTTAAGTAAGTTCTCGATATGCATACTTTTTTTTATGGCTGGAAGTTAACTTTTGAAACAAAAAAGGAAAAAGAAGAAAGCACCCCTCACCATCTCCTCATCTTTGGCTCTCTGTCAGCTATAGTCCTATGTCTAGTGCAACCTTTTCATTCAAACTAGCAGCAAGCTTTCTTACTGATATGCCTCCTGGCTTTCTTTCATGAGCCAGATGCATTTTTGATGTGTCTTCATCCCATGGCATTTCCTTATGCAAGTTCTGGCTTTGTCACACTTTCTGCAGTTGCTCTCCCATATTTATAGGTAGACTAGGCTGCCCTGTACTGTCCCTATGTATTATTTAAGTCTTAAATGTACCTGTTCCTCATTAATTTCCTTTCTTGTCTGATTCCTTCCACCAATGTATTTATTTATTTATTAATTCAATTTCTACACCGCTCAATCCTGGAGGCTCTGAGCGGTTTAAATAGGCATATATTATACTTCCTATCTAGGGCCACAATGTATATAGGGGAGGTGAGTGCCTACCAGGCACCCTGCCGGCTTGTTCTTTCTTCTTCCTGCGGCTTCCAACAGCTGACAGGTTCCATTATCCCAAGCCCTGTGTGATGTCCTTCTGTCATCCTTCCTTCCTTAACTTTCTGAACAGTTTGTACCTTCAGGCCGCTCTGCCTATTCTACTGTTGCTTTGTGTGTACTGAAGGATGTCATGTTATAGGAAAATTCAGGAGACTTTGCCCTTTTCAGTGACTTTATACTGTTAAAATTGTTGTACCATGCTTTAGTAGAAATCCTTCAAGGCAGAGTAACACTTAATCCTAACTCTGTTGCGATAATACTGGCATAGTTTCCCATACCAAGTAGATTGTTGTCGCTGAATGATATATTGCAAGCCGTAACTTCATGGCCCAGGACTAAAAGGACTGTCTCCTCCCATATGTCCTTATGTGCCAAATAACACTAATGATTGTACCCCTCTTTAAGGTGGCACACATGGAGCCAGTTCCTGTTCCATTGTAGTTCCCACTTTGTGGAACAGGCTCCCAGAGGAGGTGAAGGGAGTTAAATTGTTAGAAATTTTCAGGAGGTGCTACATCCATGTCATTTGCCATGGCTTTTAAAAGGATATAAACTGCAGGCATCTTTTGATGAGAGGGGTATCTTGCAGTTTTATTCTATTGGTTTTAATTGTAATGTTTTAGTTATAACCTGTAAGCTGCCTTGAGTGAGAAAAGGTAGGATATAAATATTTTAATAAATTAATTTCAAAAGAACGAAAATCTATTCCATAAACAAATTGCGACCATGTTAAAACTCATAATCCAGGTTAAAAGGAATGCACTGTTGTAAAACCTGTATTGAATTTTCCTTAGCTTTATGAACAGATTCTAGCTGAAAATGAGAAACTGAAAGCACAGCTACACGATACCAACATGGAGCTGACGGATCTTAAGCTACAGTTGGAAAAGGCAACTCAGGTTTGTATTTCAAACTCCAATAAATCCAATAATGGGAGTGGCATTTTCTCAGGATGTGGCATATATAGCCTTTAATGGTTCTGAATAGTTTTGATCCTTTGTTAAAAACTTGGCACACAAATCCCATTAGATATATAGCATATAATCCACCTTGAGTCCAATTTAGAAAGGTGGACTTTGTAATTAAGAGTTAGAGTAGCATCTGTAATTGCTGGAAGTGCTAGAAATTGAACAATGTGAAATAATAATTACTTGGAACCAGTGTTCCCTCTAAGCTGAGTTAGTGTGAGCTAGCTCACAGTTTTTTAGGCTCCAGCTCACACATTTGTGTCTTAGCTCAGGAAGGATGGCTCCAGAGCAAACTAATTATTCAGTAGCAAAATCGCTCACTCACAACTTTAATGCGAGTAGCTCACAAGACTCCACAGCTTGGAGGGAGCATTGTTTGGAACACCTGAAAGGTAAGTTAACTGTAGCCGTACAAATAGGAGGCTGGTGATTCCCCTTCTCTTGCATGCATTGACATATACGGTTGCCAACTTTGGGCTGGGATATTCCTGAAGGTTTGGGGGTGAAGCCTGGAGATGGTAGGGGAGAGACCTCAGTAGGGTGTAATGCCATAACTTTCAAAGCAGCCATTTTGTCTTGGGAGAGTGGGTGCAATTCTATGAGATCTCCAGGCTCCACCTGGGGGTTGGCAACCTTACACACATACATACATAGCGCAATAATAGGCAATTTTGCTTAGGCTGACTTTGACTCCCAACTGCTTTCAGTATTCCATATGCTTGCTGGTGTATTTTCCGTGCCCCTTATGCCATCAGAGGCAGTATATCACATACGTGGAGAGCCCCCCCCCCCCCCGATTATGTAGAAACTTTCATTTTGTCTATGAGTGGTCACTTTGTGCTGCTGTTGGCACTGGAACCCTTTTACTTCATGTCTTCACTGCAACATTTCTATATTAAATCTGAGGACCAGCCACATGATGCTGTGTTACACTGAGTCAAACTACAGGTCTGTCAAGGACAGTATTGTCTGTTCAAGCTGACAGTGACATTCCAGCAGAGTTCATTAATTTGTGCACTGATTTTTACCCTGCCACCCAGAGCTTTTTTCCCCTCAGTGCAGGGGTTCCCTTTTCTCCAGGCGTGGCCCTGCCCTCCGGCTCAGCCAGGGCCTCTGTGCGCTATAAAGGGGAGCTCTGGCACCTGGCAGCCCTACTTCCACCATGTAGCTATGGCCTCAGGGGTTGAGGTGAATTGCATTGGAGGCAGAAAGGGGGGGGGGGGTAGCCGAAAGCGATTAAAGGCTTCTGCAGCTGCTGGCCGCTGGCCTCGCCATTTGATGCCTGGGAATTGATCAAGGCGAGGGGGAGGGGTGGGGGGTATGGCTGCCTGCAAGACTGCTCCAGGTGCGGTCAGACTCAGTGAGAGAGGTGCTCGCCTCTGGGACCCCGCTGTGTGAGTGTGTGTCTGAGCTTGGATGCTTGGATGCCCCGGATTGTATGGATGTGTTGTGGGGTTGCAGGACACCTGTGGCATACTTGAGAGGGACCCATCCCCGGCTCTGCTCCCTTTCTACCCCCTCCTCACCATGGCCCCTCTCCTAGCCCTCCGCCACCCCACCCCCAGCCGCTCCCCAAGCAAACGACAGTGCGAGGCTCTCACTTTAAAAAATCTTTATCTCAAATAACTTTTAAAAAAAGCAGTTTAGCCTTTATTGTTCCCCTCTTGCGGCATAATACAGATTGCATTTCTCTTAATCCCTCCCCTCCGCTCCTCCTTGTTCTCCCCCCAACCTTATTGAGAGTCACCTGATCAATTTCTCCAGATGGTGGCTGGGAGGGAGATTTCAAGTGAGTGTGTGCAGGGAGGGGTGTGTGAGAGAAATACTCGAAAGAAATCAATGTCTGATTTCTCCTTTAGTTAGAAAAAAATGCACTTTAAAAAGTAGAGAGAAAACGAGAATGGTATAAGACAACGGCCAACTGTGTAATCCAATTAAGAGTGGAGGAGTATTGAAGCCGAGGATGCCAGGTGGGAGCAAAAAAAGAAAACTAAGATTTAAGGAGGAGGGGGAGCAGGGGGGAGATCAAAGGAAGAGTGGAAAAGTTGCCTCTGATGCTGTGTTCCTGGCCCGATCTTTTGGCTTGAGGCAGGTTTCTGCAGCCTTTCCCCTCCCATGCGCCAAGCATGAGTTCCAGCCACCAAAATATGATGATAAGAGCTGCTTCTGTGTTCCCCCCTCTCTCTCCCTCCTCCCTCCCTCCCTCCCTCCCTCCCTCTCGCTCTCTCACACATACACACACACACACGCATGTGTTAAAAGGAAGGGGCACAGCAAATAGATGCCATTCCATATAAAACCCCTCCCCATGCAGTAACTGTACAGATTACATGTCCCAGAATTCTCGGTGTCAGGAGGAGTGGTACAACTCAAGACGCTCCATGGGTGTGTCTTGCTCCCCCCCTGTTGTTTGAATACCATTGAGTTCATTATGGCTTCTCAATTGCCTGAGTGCTGTTCCTAGTCAAGTATCACATTGATAATTTCATACAGTGGCTTTTCAACTGAGCAGAGTTGCAGGGGCTGTGATGGGGAGGGAGGGGGGAATTATGGAGACAGACTGGGGAGATGAGGTTCTCTTTGGTGAACCCTTTTAGATACCCTACTTTTAAACATGTTACTGTCGGACTTGTTCTAATTGATGGTAGAATTCTTTAAGACCGGCTTGGGCATGTATTTGTAATATGTAGCAAGCTTAGTGGCCAGTTATATGTGTTATTGCTGTGGTGCCTATGTATACATCTTGTGCCTTGTAAAAAAAAACCTTGTAAAAATATCCAGCAATCTTGTGATTGACAGTTGCTAACCTCTCTGCATTTGACAGATCTGTTTTTTGAAATTCTGGTGGTATACTTTCTAAGACTAACTGTCAGATACCCAGGCTTCACCAGTGAATACATATAATATTCATCTGTATGGTTTCTGTTACATTTTAGATATTTGCTGTGCAAGATTTTGGATGTATAAAACCTGTTTATTGGTGTTAACTCAAATGACTTCTCTTCTGAGTTTAGTGGTACAAGCCTTTCATCAGATTGCATTATTGCTTTGTAAATTAAATGATGAGTCAATAACAGTTCTGATGTTTTACTCCAGCATGGTTAATAATTGTATCCTCAGACCATCCATCTAAAAGGATAGCCTGATTGATAGGGAAATCAAGGGAGCCATGCAAGCCGGCACCTATTCTGGGATTAAAGTTGCCGCATAATAAAGTGTGAGAAGTAAGATATTGAAAGTCCAGGGCTTCCAAGTTATCAGAAAGTTTGTTCCAGATGCTGTCTGGACTTCATAAGTTAGAAATCTTTGGTGGAAAATAAACATTAATACAGAGGAGGGAGCCAACCTGGGCCCCATGAATCCTCAGAACCTTAATAGGGTCTGAGATTTGCTTTTCAGGACCTTAATTAGTGATTCAGTACTGCTGATCAACCAATTCCTTTGTCTAGCTCTCTTGATGTACCTGAGTGGCCCCCAGTTACAGCATCTGAGTTTAAAAGCCTTATTGACTCTCTTTCATATGGAAAAGCTCCTGGAGAGGACATGATCCCTCCGGAGCTTTTTAAGCAATTCCCTGGTTGGAGGGCCCTTGTATTGGCAAAGCTGTTTTCTCAAACTCTCCTGGATGCTTCCCCACTGGTTGGAAACAATGCATAGTAGTACCAGTACATAAAAGGGCAATAAATCGAATCCTCATAACTATCACCCTATTAGTTTGTTGGATACAGCTTCCAAATGTTACAGTACATTTTTACTGAGAAAACTGGAAGACTGGGAAGCCGACAGTCAGGTCATCTTCCCAGAACAAGCTAGTTTTAGGAAGGGCCAGAGCACTATCAGTTATTGCACCATCTAGCCACGGATTGTGTAATGGTTCCCAATAAACACCTATATGCAGCCTTTGTTGATCTTGCGGCTGCTTTTGACTCAGTCGACAGAGAGAGGCTTTGGTCTAAACTGACAAGTACTAACACCAACAAACATCTTTTGCATCTAATAAGGGAGCTCCATAGTAATATATCATCCAAAATTAGAGTAGGCATCAGCTTTTCTGACAACACAGCATCTCAGTAGTCAGAGGTGTGAAACAGGGTTGTGTTCTTGCCTCCCTCCTTTTCAACCTCCACATCAGTAACATCACTAAGAGGCTCTCAGGCTCCGACCTCTTCCCTCCTTGTCTTGGCTCACGGAAGATCCCATTTCTTCTTTATGCTGACAACATGGTTTTGTTGTCTGTAACCCGCATTAGTTTAAGAAGTTTGTTGTCCAGGCTCAGTGACTTTTGTAAAGGAGAGCTTCTAGAAAAAATTACTCAAAGACCAAAATTTTCGGACAATGGTGGTGTATGTCCCACTGGTCAATAGATGGGTCCTCAGTTGAGCAATGTTGAACCATTACATATTTGGGTATCACCTTCACTGATACACTCGCTTGGAAGGTACACCTAAAAACTGCAAAATCAATAGGCCTTTGGTCAACGGGGGCAATCCTTAAATTTTACAATTCTGAAGGGGGTTTTCAGATAGACCCAGCCTTAAAGCTCTTCCAGAGTAAGATTCCAGTGTGAAGGTGTGGGGATGGAATGATGCCTTAATTGTAAATCTGGAGAGAATTCAAAATTCTTTCCTGAAAAGGATTTTAGTACTTCCTCCTAACACTTCAGCTGCTTTGCTGAGAGCCGAATTGGGCCTCCCTTCTCTTTGGGCACGTGCACATAACGCCTTATTTAATTATGGCATACATTTAAGAGAGCTCCAGCAGGTCATCTCTCAAGCATATGTTTTTCTATTAGCCTAAAAGATCCAAAATGGCAGTCCAATTATTAAAAAATTATCCAAATATATAATCTGCCAGATGTTGTCCAAGGAGCTTCTTAGGCTGATTTTAATGGTAGGATTCAAATATACTCACATGATACTGCTTTAGACAGGCAAGCTATATTGGGAACCAAATTTTCACCTTGGTATAAAATTATTAAACTAGATCATTTCAGGGCACAATATCTTTTTTTAAAAATTATATTCAGCTTTAACATCTATTCATTTCCAAATGATGCAAACAGCCATGCTTGAAGGTCACTAAACTCAAACACCAGTTGCCCAACGCCACTGTATGTGCAGAGGTCCAGATCCTGAAGACCTGTGTCATTATTTGCTGGCCTGTCCACTTTATTGAGCTCCAAGGTTGAAATTTTTAGGTACAATCTTGGCTAATTTAGTCCTTAGCACTGTGATGGAACAAGTCATATTTTTTACTTGCAGATGAAGAATCAGAGGTCTCATATAAAGTTGCCCTTTTTGCCTTAGCGGCAAAGAAAATTCAGGCCAAGCTAAGAACATAAGAACATAAGAGACGCCAATGTTGGATCAGGCCAAAGGCCCATCCAGTCCAACACTCTGTGTCACACAGTGGCCAGAAATACCAGTGCCATCAGGAGGTCCAGCAGTGGGGCCAGGACATTAGAAGCCCTCCCACTGTTGACCCCCCCCCCAAGCACCAAGAAGACAGAGCATCACTTGCCCCAAAGCCCCTAGCTATACCTTGTGGCTAATAGCCACTGATGGACCTCTGCTCCATATGCTTATCTAATTCCCTTTTGAAGCCGTCCATGCTTGTAGCACCCACCACTTCCTGTGGCAGTGAATTCCATGTGTTAATCACTCTTTGGGTGAAGAAGTACTTCCTTTTATCCGTTCTAACCCGACCGCTCTGCAGTTTCATGGCGTGCCCACGAGTTCTTGTATTGTGAGAAAGGGAGAAAAGTACCTCTTTCTTTACCTGCTCTTTCCCATGCATAATCTTATAAACCTCGATCATGTCACCCCTCAGTCGTCTTTTCTCCAAGCTAAAGAGCCCTAAGCGCTTTAACCTTTCCTCGTAGGGAAAGTGTTCCAACCCTTTTATCATTCGAGTTGCCCTTTTCTGCACTTTTTCCAAAGCTATAATATCCTTTTTAAGGTGTGGTGCCCAGAACTGCACACAGTATTCCAAATGAGGTCTCACCATTGATTTATATAGGGGCATTATTATATTGGCTGATCTGTTTTCAATACCCTTCCTAATAATCCCCAGCATAGCATTGGCCTTCTTTATTGCAGTCACACACTGTCTCGACATTTTCAGTGAGTTATCCACTACAACTCCAAGATCTCTCTCTTGCTCAGTCTCTGCCAGTTCAGACCCCATCAATGTGTATTTATATTTAGGATTTTTGGCTCCAATGTGCATCACCTTGCACTTGGCCACATTGAACCCCATTTGCCATGTTGACGCCCACTCGCCCATCCTTGACAGATCCCCTTGGAGTGCCTCACAATCCTCACTGGTTTTCACCACCCTGAACAACTTTGTATCATCCGCAAATTTAGCCACTTCACTGCTTACTCCCATCTCCAAATCATTAATGAACAAGTTAAAAAGCAGTGGACCAAGTACTGATCCCTGCGGTACCCCACTGCTTACCACCCTCCACTGAGAAAATTGCCCACCTACACTCACTCTCTGTTTTCTATGAACTAGCCAGTTTTTGATCCATAAAAGGACTTGTCCTTCTATCCCATGATTTTTGAGCTTACTTAGGAGCTAATGTCAGCATAGGTCAGTTGCTTATGGGAGTTATTCCTTTCTCTTATGAAACAGGTTTTAAATTGTAATTTTATAGTATTTTAACTCAGTCTCACGGTGCTGTATTTTATAGTATACAATCTTTTAGTGTTAACCTATTGTAACGGCCATTGGCCCTATGCAATAAAATTGAACTCGAACTGAACTTGTAAATTAAATTATCTAAAGTATTATTACAGGGTAGCGACCTGGTTCTTACAGTGTGAAAACAACTCCTCCTCAATCTTGGAATTTATTAAATTTCGAGCCAATGCATTGGATGTTCCTTTTTATTATTGAATGTTTTAGCTACAATATTGAATCTTTTTAGCTACAATGCTGTCTTAAATATCCATGCCCTGTCTGATGTATTAAAGTTTCACAGGGCATGTAAGGCAGAGATGTTCTGTCAGGCGTTTGGTTGAGGCCAGCAACAGTTCCTTACATCTGCCTGGCACCCTCCCCTCCATGATTGAATGCTAGCACTGCCATCTTGTTTTAAAAATGTTTTGAAATGTTTAAATACTCTGAATGTTTTAAATATTGAGTTTTTATGGTTTTAACTTATTTTACACTGTACTGAATTAGATTGTTGTGAACTGCCTGGAGCCCCGCACAAGCAGGAAAGGGCAGTCAAAAAATCTAACAAATAAATAATAAATAAATTTTGTCAATTCTCATATAGGTCTTTCTGATCATTTCAAAACTTTGTTTGATTACTCTCCTGAATCCCTGTATGTTTGTAGATTGCTTTCTTGGCTGTAATACCACAGAAGACAAATGTCAGGCAGTAATGAAGCTACAGGCATTGAACCAGCGGGCATCTGTAGAGTGTATGTGATGCTGAGATGCCTCAGTCCATAAGATATTCTGGGCCAGGGAGACTTGCAGTCAAACAATCTCTCCTGGGCTTCCAGCTAAGAAACTTAGGCTATGTGGCATGTCCTTGTTGAGTCTCAGTGAGACTGACTAATTTATACAACAGTCAGATGTAGGCTCATTCATGAAGTAGAATTTTCGCTCACAAGACTCAACCACTTAGAAGGAACATTGCTCTCCAGGATCCCAAACTGGAACCTTATGCATGCAAAACAGATGATCTACCAATGAGTCATAATTGGTGGTAGTTATTAGGAAATATTAGCTTTTAGTAGTTGAGCATTGCTAGCATTTTCCAATAGTCTTCTGTATCTTATTCTTTTATTAAAAGAATTTAGTCTGTCATACTGTGTTTCTTCATACTGCAGAAGATGATAAAGCATCCTTTAGTAGGTTTAGACTTTTAAGTTAATATTAGGAAAAGAGTTCTGTCCATGCTTGGAACTTGTTACAAGAAAAGGTAGTAATAGTACAGTAATATTATCTTTTGATTAGCATATTATTGTACTAGTAATATTTCAAAAATACAACAAAGCATTTCTTAACTTCACTATATTTTCACTGTGACTCCTCTTGCTGTACTTGACCCTGCATGTCATCAATTTTCTTTTCCAGAGACAAGAAAGATTTGCTGACAGGTCTCTGCTAGAAATGGAAAAAAGGGTAAGTTCCTCCCTATGACTTTGACCCTCTTGTAAAACAGGCTGAATTAGAAAACAGTGTGAAAATAAAAACATCCCAACAGCAATTATATCAGAACAGGGTGTTTTATGTGAGACATGTATAATACATTAAACATTATTTATTGTATTTAAAACATTTATTAGCGGACTTCTTCCATACAGAGCTCAAGGGGAGCCTATAACATAGATAAAGCACATAAAATAAAATACATTAAAAACATAAAAAGCAACATTTAAAATCACAACTCAGGATTGCTGCTAAGCCTGACTAAATACAACTGTTTTCAACTGCCTCCTAAAGACTGAAAGGGAGGGGGCCAGGCACACATCCCTGGGGACGTTGTTCCATAATCATGGGGCTGCCACTGAAAAGGCCCCTCTCCCGTGTATCCACCAAATAAGCTTCATTGATGGATGGAACAGTCAGGAGGAGGACCCCTCTCCCTGTGATCTTAATTCTCAACAGGAACATAGGGGAGAAGACAGTCCATTAGATACCCCAGTCCCAAGCCATGTGGGGCTTTAAAGATCAAAACCAAGAACTTTAATTGGACTCAGGAGCAGATTGATACCCAATGTAATTGCTGTAATATCATGATCAGATGCGCTCAATAACTAGCCCTGACCAGCAGTCTAGCCGCAGCATTCGGCACTAGCTACAGTCTCCAAACAATCTTCAAGGGTAGCCCCAAGTAGAGCACATTGCAATGGTCCATTCTAGATTACGGTGATCTCCATTAGTAAGATTTGCTTATTATGAACTAGGTTTAATGTTCTCCTCATGTTTCAGAATTATTAACAGCCTTACATTCTAAAGACTAATAGCTTAGAGAGTAATTGGTGAAGAATACATTGTTTTCCACTCCTTAGACTATTAATCATTGATATTTGCCGGAATTGTTACACATGTAACAATTTACTATAGCATTTAATATAGGTGGCAGTGACTAAGGACTAGCTCATATACTGAGCATATTCTATTTGCTTCCAAGAGCACACAGGGCCATCACTGGGCTTGTAACCAAAATGCACTCATATGTACATGCCCTTAGAATTACCTGATGTCCATGATTTTCATAATCATGGCAACTGAACAAGGGAATATAGCCTGCATGAAGTTTCCCTTGGCAGTTAAAGACACACCTCCAGCTGAATGTGCAATTGATAGTACATCTGACTGGCAGTGGTGCTTTTCCAAAGCCAGTATATATATTGTTTTATGCAGTTTCCCGTTACATCATGATTTTTTAAAATTATGTATTGTTATTTCTGTCTCACTCTTTCCACCAAAGGTACTCAAGGGCTACATAAACTAAAATACCAGCATAAAATTATCTCATGTTAAAATTTTAGTGATGTAATAAACAAAACCTATGCTAAAATAGTATCAATAACAGTACATTTCTTAGCAGGTACAGAAAATAGCATTTTTAAAAAACACAGTCATCACAAAGCCTAGTTAAATTAATATATCTTTAGTATGTACTAGAAATGTAGCCCCTGACCTGGATTATCCAGGCTAGCCTGATCTTGTAAGATCTCAGAAGTGAAGCAGAGGTGGCCCTGGTGAGCACTTGGATGGGAAACCACCAAGGAAGTCCAGGGTTGCAAAGTAGGTGCAGGCAATGGCAGACCACCTGTGAATGTCACTTGCCTTGAAAACTCCATGGGCTTGCTGTAATGGCACTTTCCACCATTACCAGCAAGTTAGCACATTTGGCACCAGCTAGATACATGTGGAGAGGAGTGTTGCATAGCTGAAGTGCCCCCATAGAAAAAGCCCTGCCCCACATGACCACCCACTTTGATTCACTTAAATCTGTAACATGTCTAGCACAAGGGTGTATTTCGTGTGTTAACATAATGGCAATAATAAGAGTTGTCCCAAATTTGGTTTGCAACTTATTTTGGTGAAGATCTTAGTCTCTGGCTTATGTCAGTTAACTCACTGTTCCTTAACTAAGCACTGCTACATGTGGACATACTTTCCAGAAATCTAATTTTTACTAGTGTGTGGGGATGGAGGGAATAAATTTGAGAATGACCACAGGAATTATGACTGAACTACACTCTTCAAGTTAGTTCAGCTGTAATGACCGACTGCGGTGGCTCAAGTGGTTAAGACGCTGAACTGCAGGCTGTGGAAGGTCAGTAGTTCAGCAGTTCGAGACCCAAGTGTGCCACATGACAGAGTGAGCTCCCGTCTCTAGTTCCAGCTCCTGCCAACCTAGCAGTTCGAAAGCAAGAAATTGCAAGTAGATAAGTAGGTACCACTTCAGTGGGAAGGTAACAGCGTTCCATGTGCCTTGGTGTTTAGTCATGCCAGCCACATGACCACAGAAATGTCTTCGGACAGCGCTGGCTCTTCGGCTTTGAAATGGAGATGAGCACCGCATCCCTAGACTCGGATTCGACTGGCTTTCGAGCAAGGGAACCTTTACCTTTAATGACCGACCACAGTTTATGCATATTACTTTGCCATTCTTTCCAAAATATCAAACCTGAAGATAGATGCCAAGGAGTAGTTCAAAGCTAAGTAGTGTACTGTAATCTTGAAATCCTGTGGCTTGCCTTTGCATCTAAATTCAGACCATGGTTTGAGATAATATTCTACCTTTTTGTATAGTACCTGGGGATTCTGGTGGGAGGCAGGCAAGGAATATAAAACATTTAGTGGCATCACAAAGCACATTTTTCTTGTATGCTTGGGGCACAGACTGTGAGTAAGGCATATCATGGTTTGTTTGTTGCATCTGAGCCATGTGATTGGGAAAAATATGCCTATGAAGTCATTTAACTATGATTAAACTAAATTCAAATGGTTTGTATCTGAAAGGTGACCGACAAGAGTCAGTATCTACGGGGCGGTATGATCTAACCAGAGTTTTACACACCTCAGTTGATGCTGCTTGCTGTATTGCATAACACCATTGAATGCAGATGTTAATGTACACTTTAGAGTAATCTGCTTTTGTCTTTCACTCTTTGAAAATATTTGAATGTCAAATAATAGCTACCAAAGCTGCTTTATTAATGAGAGCCACTGCATTTGTCTTAACATTGGGCAAGAAGCTACAATCTTGTTATCCAGTATGTCTGATAAAAGAATATGTGCTGGAATACATACAATATTATTACTTTTTAGGTGCAGTACTGAGTGCAAACTAACATTTGCCTGTTTATGGACGCTTACGTTTTGTGTTTCTTTTTTCTTCAGGCAGTCAGTATTTCATCTGCATTTCTTATATGTTCAACTGTCACAAATATAGTTAAAGGAGAACCCGCCAACCAATTTTATAAAACCTATTGCCTGTTCAGCTTTATATAAAGAATGGATTGAGTTGGTAGAATTTTACTAAAGTTTTGTTCTGTTGTCTTGATTCCAAATGGGAAGATTTTTTTTACACATCACTGGCCTCACAACCTCTTGTCTCCACTGTGCTTATGGTCGTTTAATCTTGAAAATTTGGAATTGCACTTGATTCACTGTGTTTAAAGTAAATACCCTCAAATGCTGGGGTATCTGTGCAAAAAAATTAATGCAAATACTTTGCTGTAGGAACGAAGAGCTCTAGAAAGGCGAATATCTGAAATGGAAGAGGAACTCAAAGTAAGTGTGCATTAATTTTAATAAATTTAGGGTGGGATTAATGATATGCTACAGTGTAGAAATTCCCAGGTCTATGTATTTTAAGATTATATATCACTTCTGAATTTTGAAGCTTATGCAATTGAAGCTTATGAGGGCCAAAATAATACTGCTTTTGTAAAAAATGGTCCCATATTGGATTTTAAAAGTTAATTTACATGAGCACAGTCTGCTAGAAGGTGGTTCTATGAGAAAGGTTTTCTCTTGCTCTTGAAGTTTGACCAGATGCTTTTGACTAATGCAATTCTGTTAAGTCAGTATGGTGCTTGTTACTTGTCTTGTACATCTTGAATGAAAGAGTAATTAACTAGGAAAGCTGATGATTTGGAGAAAGTAATTTTCATTTAATAGTATGGTAGTAAAGACATATGCTTTATCCCTGTTGTAAAAGTTTAATTTATTTTTAAAAATTCTATCCTGTCTTACCTCCTTGGGCTCAAACTGGTGAACACTATAACAACCAGGTTGCAAAGACATAAATAACAATCCAATTAACAATATTCAAACAGATTAAAATACACAGTTTACCAATATAAAAGCATTCATATTTAACATACACGTCAGCAAACTCAGTCATATTTGTTGACGGCAAAAATCACCCTTCACCAAATGCTCTCTGGAATAGGACTGCCTTAGATGCCTTCCCAAATATAGCAAGGGAAGGTTATGTTTCACTACAGGAAATTTTAATTTTTCAAAAATAGGTCTGGGCTCTAAAAGACTAACCCCATACCACAGGCAAAACTCAACACATAACCCCTCGATAGATCCTCATACAGACAAAAGTTACAGGATATGATGTAAAGAACACAATTTTCATGTATGAATATTTTTAATTCAGTGTCAGACAAAAGTTGCACTTTGTATTTGTAATTCTTCTATCACACAGAAACATTTATTTAAAGTCATAAGTTTTCCACTAGCACAGAAGAAAACAAGAAATAATCAGGCAAACTGTCTGCATTTCAAGTAGGCTAGGGCAAATTTAGTATATTTTGGATACTTTTATACTATTTGTGAGGCTCAGTGCAGCCTACATTTTTTGAAGTTTTTGTTCCCTTGAGGTCCTTCCTTAAGTCCAAAGCTACACCTCTGAAACATATTTTTAAAATGAAAGCTCACCTTCAGATGTTTTCTACCTATTCCTGCTCTCCTTTTCATCTCTAGCCATATTTGGCTGCTCAACCCATCAAACAGCAGCTTATTATTTCTTGCATATCTCCTGATATCCATTTCTTTTATTCAATTTTCTCACTGAATTTCTTTCTGTAAAGTGAACTTTCTCTTCATTGTTGTGGTGTCTGTGCAGTCCCACACAGAAACTGTGCATGCACACACCAGGTATGGGAGATTCTGAAACTCAGCTGGGCACAAGGTTAATCCTCTTACTTCACTGGCTTTCCCCACCTTCATGCTATGTGAGCGGGCAGAGGGAGACATCTCATCCCTGTTTTCTTTGCTGCTATGGATAAAAGATGTTTCCAGGAAATTTTGGACTGTCAAGAAAATAACCTGTGTGGGGGGAAAAACAATAAAATATTAATAATTGCTTAAGAAACGTTTCCAATGTGGCGGGGAAATGGCACAATCAGATGAGTCTTCTTTGAGCCTGTTCTACTTTAGTGAGGGACACAACATTTCTAGACATTCATTATGTGACCAGTGTATACCGAAAGCAAGAAGCAATAGGTTTCAAGACAAAGCAGCCCTTTGGGAAAAAACTCTGGAAGGCACATAGTGTTTCCCAAACTACTATGAAGCAAAAGGGGGGAAAACAGTTTAAATCAACTTTGGTTTTACTGGTTCCAAGATGGGTTCTGAAAAGTATCCAAGGAAGACACCTGCCTATCCATCAGCAGATCTCATCAGGTACAGTTACAGAAGAAAACCTAACCAGGACCCCTCTAACAGACAGTGCTGTTTGGTTAGTAATTGGAACAAACACCCTTTAAGTCAGTGGGACTGTACATGTGGCTGTTGCTGTTATTTCACTTATGATCATAACAACAGGTCATATTTCACCTGAGCTATTACCAGTGTTCTACCTGAACAACAGTGACCTTCCCATCAACTGGCATTAGCATGTAGGGCAAGAGGCATGATGAAACTTATCCAGTTGTAGGATGTCAGTTCAGAACAGAGTGGCCTTGCTTACTGTTCAGATTCTGAATGTGAGATTCTGTTGGAACCACTGCTGGATGACACTATGACTGACATCACCCAGGCGAGAATGTAAGGCTGTGCAGTAAATAGATGCTTTCTTGTAGAGGTGATCTGTTCTGCTTTCAAAGCATCGGATCCTGTGTTTATAGTTCTGCAGTTCAGAAACCATGGAGCTGATTCTTGCTTTCCCTGTTGTGTAAGGACTTGTGGATATGAGATAAGACCTCTGGTTGAAACCTGAATTGATTCAGGCAGCAGTGTGACGACTGCAATAATGTATCAACTGAACAAAATGAGTGCTTCTTGTAGCCTAGCCCTTTTTCAGCTCCATTTTGGTTGAGGCTCTGCAGGGGGAGAAATAGGGGATACATATCACACAGAATCAGTTCATAGGTCGAGAAGAAAATAGAGTTTTACTGGTGGGGAAATCTGTTCCTCCTTAGACCTTTGTTACTTTTAAGGCTGAAAATTGTAGGTTGGTATCAGTCCTGGGGATGTCTCCCTACATAGATCTGACCTAGATAAGAAAAAAGTGGCTACAGTATTATAAATTGAGGCATTATCCATACAGCAGATTAATACCTCAAGGCACACCATTTGAAGGTTCTGAAGTGTTTAGCTGAGGCTCTAAGAAAGATCAGGAAGAACTAGGTATACTCTAGGAGTTACCTCATCTCAGGTGTCAATTTACATCTTTCTCTACTGTACAATGTCTACTATAAAATTTAAGTACATTTCCCCAAACTCTCTGGCAAAGTACAAAGCTAACTATTCTTCCTGAGGTTCCAAACTGCATATCAGTCCCTGAAACCTGATCAATGAACTCAGGAACAAGGTTTGAGCACCCCTCTTCACTGGCCAACTAAGTTGTCAATACTAGGTTAGCACACTTAGCAGAAATTAGATTCCATGGTGGATGGTGAAAGCCAGCCTGTTAGCAGGAGCCCCCTTTGGCCTTAAGCCCAGAACTCACATTAACATATACCTCACTCCAGGGTTGGTAGGGCTCACTTGGTTACTTCAAGAGAAAACCTTGCACATCAGTGTACTAGAGCCAAGAGCAATAGAGAATACTTTAGTGTCATTCCAAAATGTTATTTAAGGGAAAGCAATGCAGAGGACAGCTAACAGTACTACTACCATGTTCTACTTATACCAGGGGGGCTCCACCTCTCAGACCCTTTCACTGGAAGCCACAGACATGTGGGACAACATCACCACAGTACAGATGATCGACATAGCAGGTATGCCCCATGTTGAGCTGAACATGGGGATCATGAGTGGATCATTCAAGACAAATACATTTCCTGAAATTTGGCAGTTACCACATGTAGATATGTGTGTGACACTTGTTCAACACAAAATCATTTTTTGCTTTTAAGCATGAAATCCCATAGGGAATGCCTTTCAGATTTCTTAACTAAGAGCAATGTTTTATACTGCTCTACCCCTCATCTGCTGCAGTGGCTCAAGTGGTTAAGACGCTGAACTGCAGGCTGTGGAAGGTCGGTAGTTCAGCAGTTCGAGACCTGAGTGTGTGCCGCATGACGGAGTGAGCTCCCGTCTCTAGTTCCAGCTCCTGCCAACCTAGCAGTTCGAAAGCAAGAAATTGCAAGTAGATAAGTAGGTACCACTTCAATGGGAAGGTAACAGCGTTCTGTGCGCCTTGGTGTTTAGTCATTCCGGCCACATGACCATGGAAATGTCTTCGAACAGCGCTGGCTCTTCGGCTTTGAAACGGATATGAGCACCGCAACCCTAGAGTTGGATTCGACTGGCTTTCGAGCAAGGGAACCTTTACCTTTTTACCCCTCATCTTATTTCTTATGAGGGAGTTAACCAGAATGAAATGGGAAAGGATATTTTCATAGCACCATATTGACTGAGACAAGTTGCTCATCATATTTCTATCAACTTCTTCTGACATTTTGTCTCCAGACTGAATTTTTTACTATAGCATCCTGTATCTAGCAGTCTGGTACGTTTGGCAGCTGTTGTAGCTTGTCATGACCATATAAGGCTAACTTTGTTTTCACCCAAAAGGCGTCTAAATCATATCTGAAGAGATTAACATAACACCCTGCAATAATTCAACAGGTACTTTGGTGGAACTTTTATCTGATTTTATCAAAGCTTATGATAAAACCCTTTAATTCTTTAGCAGTGTGCTAAGATGGACTTTTTGCCAGCAATCACCTGCATGCATAGAGCTCGTGAGATTAAAGTATTGAAATCCTATCTCCTATTTCAAGTTTTACAAGAAGGTATTCTTTGTTTCCTCCCCAGAGTTTTCCCATCTTTTAATTTGCACCAAGACATTATTTTACTCTCTTTTTTTTAACCTAAAGATAAGAGAGAATGCTACACTCTTGGGGTATAAAAAGAGCTCCCCCCCCCCCATTTATAAAGAACAAGTGAGTTCAGAAAGGACCCACACCTTCAGCTTCCATGCAGAGAGGTTCATGCAGTCTCTTTCACTGGATATTTTTTTCTGATAAGGCATGCTATCAAATGGTTGGAATTGATATCTATTGTACAAATAAGCACACTTGACTACAAAAGAAGCTGCCTTCCTTAGATATATGATTCTCTCCATCCATGTTTATCAGACACTAAGCCATTGATGTATACTCAAGGAAAGAATTGGGTGAGAAAAGCAGTGCTTCATAGCCTGTTAAATCTAATTCTTCACACCCACAATCTGGTCTGATAAGTCACTGTGCTCTCTCCCCTGTGGTACTGCAGAGAGGTCACAACAATGAAAACATGGTTGTACTTCCCTGTAGCTGTTTATTGAA